TGCAGCCCTAGAAATTTTGTTTCCCCTAATTAACTATTATACATCCTCAAAGATAGAGTACTTGTTGTATATATGTCCTCCCGAATGTATACGAATATAATTAAGTTGCATATATATGTGGCTATTGTATGTAGGCATGTCATTAATTCCCGTAGTCTTTTTTTAAAAAACAAAATGGATATGCTAATTGCCACTTGCTCGCATGGGATGTCGACCAAAAGCTTACCATTATTCCGCAGATATATAGGTTCTCTGTCCCCAAACTTTACACCTGGAACTGTAGTGATGCCGTCCTTGTGGGGTTAAAATGTATTTACTACTTTAGTAATTGATCAGTCCTTCAGTTCCAGTGAAATTAATGTCTTTCAACACCGCACGCCCAGTGTATTTTACATACAGCTAATAAAATCTGTTATGTAAAACCAACATTTCATTTATTTACAACTGCCTCCATCGTCCTGCATGTTTTATTGTTTCTTTAATCAAAGTAGAGAACATGAACTGCATTGTTTCTTTAATAAAATAACTTTTCATAGTTTATGGGCTTGTTCTGTTTGTTCCCAAAATTTGGCATTAATATCCCCCAAAAAATTGGCACACTTTGGCATTACCATTTTTTTTTGGCAATGTTGGATGTGCTTGGTTTGCCACCTTTCTAGAATTTGGTTATGAGATGTTGGTTGAAAAGAAATGCTCTCATTTTTGACAATGTCCAACCATCTTTCAATACTTGGAAAGCTGATTTCAAGGAGGATTTCGCTCTTCTTATGCATAGAGTGAAGGAGGAGGATAAACCTAGATATCAATCATGGATTGACAACATTTTTTAAAATTTTCCTCTTTTGTATATATATATTTTGTAATTTTCCTGTAACTCCTGTTCATATATTAATATATTTACCACACAGTAGGAGCCTCTCCTACTGTTTAAGGTAAAAAAAAGAAGGAACTTCTGAAAATACTAAATTTTGGTAGAGTGATAATGGCAAAAAATGTTTGATTTGTTAACTTATCAAATTTTGGTAAAACAAAAAATCGTAGGGTCGAAAGTGGTAGCAAACTGGACAAGCCCTGTGACTATATATATATATATATATATATATATATATATATATATATATATATATATATATATATATATATATATATATATATGATCATACCAGAGACAAACTTAAGAACTTAGGACTCTTTTAATATTAATTACATATAGATCAAAGATGCACACGCTCCTAACAATGTTCTTGTTGGACTCCAATAAGATTAGGAACAAAATTAGCTTATATGCGCATAAAAATGATAGGGAAATTTCGTACATTAATTATGGTGTTTTGTTGGATCTTTATGCCCATAAAATAGCTATTTTTTTGTTTACTAGTAAAATATATTGGACACAATAAGTACATATTTGAACCCCTGTGTTATATAACATGTTTAAAATTTGCAAATAGTATTCCTGAACATTGAAAGAACTGTGGCATGCAGGAAATATATAATACTAATATACGTGTGTGTACGCGCACGTGCGAGGGGGGTCAGTCATATAATATTCCCTCCCATATACATATATATGCATGTGAGCCCGATTGAGATTACAAAGATAATAAACTAAAGCCTATCACCGATAGGTCTTATCGGTGACGGGCTTAAAATACATGCACGGGTACGGTATATCTTTTTTACGAGTATATTTTTGTCGGTGTTTATTTTAACCTGTTAGAGATGACGACACTGTGACGGTCTGTAAGCCCCATGCACGGGAAAGGCCGTTACAGATAAGTAGTTCTGTACTAGAGTGTGATTTTTTTAAAAGAAGAATTTCTTCACTTGCTCTCATTACATGCACTAACACGAGGACCCCATGCCCTGTATGTCAGTGAGCAAGTAATTAAGAGATTTAACTAAAGCTGGTATATATAATTTACGAGGAAAAACCAAAGGATCACAGAAAATCACAGAAAATAACTAAAGCTGGTATATATAATTTACGTGGTAGTACTGATTGATCGATCAGTTCTCTGCTGGCCGATCAAACGAGTTGATGAGCAGATGTGTGCGCGCGCATCGAGCAAAGCTAGCGGCATCATCGATCGATCAGGACCACAATAATTATTCGATCTCTGCAAATACGAACTAAGGACAGTCCAATCCTCGTAGGGTCGCACAGGGGCAGTGCTTGTCCCAGATTAGCATTGGCACCTGATCAATGTGTATGTCCATGTCAGTTAGACGCTTACATCTCCCAGAAATTTCCCTCTCTTTTCATTGCGAGATCTATGAGTGCCCTCTTCTTTTTTTATCAGGCCCACTGATCACATTCACACTAGCTCGGCCAGCCAGCAGCTGCTTCCACATGGAAAACTAAGGCATCAGCAGGGTTAATTCTGGAGTTATGCATTTGCTAGATTGGCTTAGCATGCAACCGTTCAACTGAGAAATCATCAGGTGCGTGCGTATATGTGTGCGTGGGACAAAGCCAACGGCAAAGCGTCACATCTCACGACAATCTGGGCGCAGAAGGGCACCACGTACTGCTCGAATTTTGGAACCACACGTACATTTTATCGACTGACGAACAACGTCGACCGAATAGCCAGGAATCATGTGATCGATGAGTTTGGGGTCATGAGAGCCCCATGTACATTGGATGTTCTGAATAAGCTCATCATTATGCTGGAGCTAATGTACGTACGGAGTATCAAACAAAATTGCTGAATGGAGATGAGATGTGATCGAGTGCTGGCACAAAACGAGTATGTGTCGTCGATTTCCTTTTCCTTGCACGGATCGGAGCAGAAATCAAGCTAGCTAGCATCCTGACAGTTCTCTGACTTCTCTCCTATAAATAAACTAGTCAAACTAAATAGACCCAATAGATGTTTGCCGTTGGAGTTTGGAGATAATTTCTCCATTCACTACTAGAAAAATGATCCTTGCTGGGTCGGGTGATTTCCACAATAGTCCCGGTTTTAATAAGAATCGGGACTAAAGATTGTTTTTAGTCCCGGTTGATACTACCAACCGGGACTATAAAGATCATATTTAGTCCCAGTTCATCCCCTATCAGAGGCCTGTTAGGGGGCCAAGGATCTTTAGTCCGGTTGATACTACCAACCGGGACTAAAGATTACCAGTCCCGGTTGGTACTAAGTAAAGACCATTTAGAAATCAATCTTCACGGGAGTAAATATTTCTCTCCCATCTCTGATCGGTTAAGTCCTAGACGAAACTTTCCTCCTCACTGAGATATTTAGATAAGATTGGATCGATCACATCCCCTCTCCTCCTAACCCCTCAGATCCCCTTTCTTCTCCTCCCCCCTCCTCCCCTCTCCTCCCCCTCCTCCCCTCCCGTCCAGCAGTCGGCGGTGGCCAGCGGGGCCACGCCCGGCGGGGGCGCGCACGGGTGTGGCGAGCGACGGCAGGCGGGGCCGCGCACGGGCGTGGCGAGCGGCAGTAGGCGGGGCCGCGCGCGGTGACAGTAGCAGTGGCAGGTGGCAGCGTCCGTTCTTTTTTTTATATATAATTTGTGATTTCCTGAGATGTATAATTTGTTTTTTTAGAACTTATGATTCATTGCATGGATCTGAGATGTATTTGATTTGTGTATAATTTTTTTAGGATTTGTGATGTATTTGATTTGTGTGTATAAGTAACTTAGGATTTGTAATGTGAATGATTTGGGATGATACTTTGATTTGGGGATTTAGGGTTTGATTTGAGGATATGCATGGCACTTGATTTAGGAGAAAATACAGGGATTAACATATTATAAGACTTTCTAGCATTGCCTATATTTATATTGTTGTTAATGAATTTAGACACATATATATATATATGTATAGATTCATTAACATATATATGAATGTGGGCAATGCTAGAAAGTCTTATAATATGAAACGGAGGGAGTAGCAAAGAAACAATGAAAAAAAAAAGAAAAGAGGAGATTCAACTTTACTCCGGTTATTTCACCCGGGATTAAAGATGGGAATCTTTACTCCTAGTTCCCAACCGGGAGTAAAAACGGTTACCCCAGTAGTGATTTGTCCTTAACCCTTGCCACATACAAAGAAGAAGAAGAAGAAGAAGAAGAAGAAAATTCATGTGTATCCCTGAGATTGCATGTGTTTGTGATATATATACATGCAAGTATTCTTAAACTGAGCTGAATAAAACTTTTTTTTTGCGTGGTGAATAAAACTAATTTGATCCATCAGTTGACCTGTGTGTGTCTATATCCTCATCTCCCAACTTCCCCAGCCCTAATTGAGCACATGCAAGCTACTAGCACACACTATCCACGTACTCCAGTACAGAAGTACTACGCTCTAATTAAATACTACTATTAGTTAAACTCCCTGATGAGGCCAGTTAGCACGGAGAGCAGTGCTAGCTAGCCCAGAGAGAGTTAAGAAGGCCCATCTTTGGAGGGGGTTGGCATCCTACACTCTAGCTAGCCCACAGTCCGCTGCCGGCTGCCGGCCAGCGCGCGCGTGCAAGTCTGCAAGCAAAGAGTTTTCAGATGCAGATCGAAGCACCGCAAGAAAATTTAATTTTATCCCCACCAAACTACTGCCACCAAGGGTGATGAATCGCATCTCGCACCAACAAGTCCGCCGTCCGCGCGTCGTCAAATCACACCCTGCAGCGCCGCCTGCGATATGAGCTGCCGCGACGGCGCGGCGGCTGCCGGCCCGGTCGTCGTCGTCGTCCGCCCGCGCGTGCTGGCTCTGCAGCCCCCGCCGCAGTAGTGGGACCGCGCGTGCTGGGTCGGGGAAGCCCGCGCAGGCCTGTCACGCCGCCACGATCCCACGAGCCACCCACAACGTAACACGAGCCGATCGAGTCCCGCGTTTTCACTCGGCCTACATGGGCTGACGCTGCGGCCTGCTTCGGCTTTGGGCATCCCGCGGCCCATCTTCTGCGAGCCCCCCGGGAACGTGCGGCCCGCGTGATAATCCCGTGGATATGGGTCCACGGGTTTTCCTCTCCTCTTCCCATCGCATCCGCATCTCGGCATCTCGCGTCGCGACCCGCGACCCGCGGCGGCGCGTCCCGAATGGCGGCCGATCGCCCGCTCGCGAGGGTTGATGAGATAGCAAGGCGCCATTTCCAAATATTTCGATCCGCAGCGTAATCTCTCTCGCGTGCGCCGGTGCGCGATCCCCTCCCTCCCTCCTCCTCAATCCCCCAGATCGCGTGCGCCGCGGGCTCTCCCCGCGTTGACTCTCCAGCATCTAGATCCGCGCCTGCGCTCCCGACGAGGTCGGCCGGTCTACGGTCACCCTCGTGGTTTCCATTGACTTGTTTTTCTCTTCTTTTTCTTTTTTTCCCCTCTTCTCCCCAACCTCGCAACAAAATCGGCGGCTATCCTCGTGTTTCTTCTTCGCTCCGTGGCCGCAGAATCCCCCCACCGCTGTTCTTGCGGCGCCGGTGTTCGTTTGAAAGGTGAGGACTCGATCTGCTTGCCGTTTCTCCTTCTGGGCAGGGGCAGGTAGGCATGGAATGCGATCTTGGGTGGTCCATGGAGGGATTGATGGATTGATAGTTACATGGAGTTTATTGGTGTACTTAGATTGGTGGGGGATCAATTATTTCTTGAGTTCTGGTTGTGCACGAAACCTCTATTTAAATCGAAGTTTTCCTATTCATGGTGATGGGGTTGCTCCTACCTAACAAATCGATACTCCTTGCTCTGCTTATTCTCGCTTTTTATTTAATGGGCAGCATGTATTTCATGACGCATCCGTCGGCGGCGACGAACTAATTTTCAGTTCTTTATGTTATTCAGCAGTTGGCTGCGCTGTCCTGGGAGGCCTCAGCAGCAGCAGCAGCGAGCTTTGCTCTTGTGAGCGCTTCGTGTGCTTGCAGCTGCGTTTTATTATTGCGTCTTGGAGCTGTCACGACGTGGTTGTTGAGAGGAATCTATCATCCCTTCACAGTTGCGAGGAAAGCTTCCTGTGGTATGTGTTGTGCTTTGTTTTCTTGTGGGCAACTGGCAGATTGCAATGGCATTATTAGGACCTTGTCCACCTTGACTTAGACAAACTGCGAATTAGGTGGTGTGACATGTGTTGATATTTTCTTTTCCAATCCTCTGATGCTTACAACCCGGTTGTGCTTGTGACGTGCCCCTACCTTTGTTTGACTTCAATGTGTAGTATAACATGGTTGTCCTGGGCAAGCTCATTACGTATTCCCCATGAGCTATTTAGTTGATTGGGCGATGTGGTAGTTGCATACTAGTCGTCCTTTCTTCCCTTGTCACCTTTGGCGGCCTCGGCTTGCTTAAAAGGATACATATGCTTTTGTAACTAGAACATTTGTTGTTGAATTTGGATTATTTGATCCCATGGCGAATTCTCGGGCTAGCCGTTTCAAGGTATTTCTTTATCTTGCCTTGGATTCCTCAGTTGTGATCTTTCTTTGGTTGTCATCAGTTTGATGTGTTCTTACTCCTTTCTTGAAGTATTTCTGTTCTTGCTGTTCAGTTCTGTGATTTTGTCTGAAAACTTTATCTTTGTGCTTATCATCTGCCTGCTGTTTAATTTAATCCTTGACCTTCTTGAGTCCTTTCAATGCTTGTACTGAGTTTTTTGTTAATATACCGTAGAAAAACATATGGAAGCTTAGAGATCAATGTTGAGCGAGTTATTTTTATGAATCATGCTTTTCTTGTGTGTCTGTAAAGTTGAAACAGGGACATCTTTTTTGCTAAATATAGCTTAAAGAGGGATGGTATGACATGTGACTAGAGTTCCATGATTTCTTTTTCTGTATCTTCTCAGTGTTGTAAACTCATATTAGAATGAACATCATTTGACGAGCACACTTTGTTCTGTGTGGTAAATTAGCATCTTACATCTCACATATTGTGGATCAGGCCATATAACTTATTTATTTTTTGCAATATGTATGAATTGAAAGTGCTTTTTTTTTTCTTCTTGCATACTTGATTCTAGCTAATCTAGAGAGTTTGATCACTCAGTATTGGATATGTCTACAGCTATATTTAGCTGGTGTTCAGAGCACTATTATGTTGATGTACATTTTAGCTTTCTGCTAACAATTTTTGTACTATTTCTAGTCCAAAGTAGAGATCTTTTTAATAAGCCAAGTCTATATAACTGTGTGAGTGGAGCTAAAATGATGAGTATGGTGTAGTATGAAGCTTTGATTGGGATGTGAAAATCCATGGGTGGAATCAGGTGCATGGGGTCTATCAAGAAATTAGATAATTATTGTTAGTAAACATTTTTTAAGTGTTCCTCTGCTTTGTCCAGTACCATGGTATATTGTCACATTGCTATTAACTCTAAGAGCAAGATAAGGGCTAAAGATCAAATAGGTTCCAGCAATGCCAAATATTTCACCATGTTACAAACACCAAGATCGATTAAAGTTTCTAAGTATTTTGGTTTGTTCCATTTGTTTTTTGGCAGCTTCAGTATGGTTTTTGTGAGGTAACTTTTTATTGAATTTTTTTCTTTACATTGCCAGATGTCTAATCTATCAGAGCCCTCAAAAGAAGCTGCATCAGCTGATGATTCAAGTGCTGTCCAGAAAACTGGAGCATGGAGTAACACGTTGAACATTCTTCTGCAACAAGCTTCAGTCTATGGTGTGGCTGCTGGTTATTGCCTGTCAGCATCCCTGCTCTCCATTATCAACAAATGGGCAGTCATGAAATTTCCATACCCTGGAGCATTGACAGCTTTACAGTACTTCACTAGTGTTGTTGGAGTTCTCTTATGTGGACAACTAAAGCTTATTGAGCATGATGGCCTTAATTTGAGGACCATGTGGAAGTTCTTGCCTGCTGCGGTGATGTTCTACATCTCCATCTTCACAAACAGTGAACTTCTACTCCATGCCAATGTGGACACTTTCATCGTGTTTCGCTCAGCTGTGCCAATTTTTGTGGCCATTGGAGAGACCCTTTATCTTCACCAACCATGGCCATCACTCAAGACATGGCTTTCACTTTCAACTATACTTGGTGGAAGTGTGATCTATGTTTTCACAGACAACCAGTTCACTGTGACTGCTTACACCTGGGCAGTGGCATATCTTGCAAGCATGTCCATTGACTTTGTCTACATCAAGCACGTTGTCATGACCATTGGCCTGAACACATGGGGCCTTGTGCTTTACAACAATCTGGAGGCTTTGATGCTCTTCCCTCTTGAGATGCTTCTAATGGGGGAGCTTAATCAGATGAAGGGCGACAGCGCTAAAGTGACAAACTGGCTTTCATCTGATGTCATTCTTCCTGTTGCTCTGTCTTGCTTGTTCGGGCTATCTATATCCTTCTTCGGGTTCTCCTGCAGACGGGCTATCTCGGCAACTGGATTTACCGTGCTCGGTATAGTGAACAAGCTCCTGACTGTTGTGATTAATCTCCTTATCTGGGACAAGCATGCCTCCTTTGTGGGAACAATTGGGCTCTTGATCTGCATGTCCGGTGGTGTTCTCTACCAGCAATCCACCACAAAACCAAAGGCCCCCAAGGCTGAGCCAAAAGAGGAGAATGATGAGGAGCAGCAGAAATTGCTGGAGATGCAGCAAGGGCTCGAAAGTAGCTCAACTCAGAAGCAAGCGTCATCTTAAGCCTGGTAGGAAATTTGGCGTCGATATCTTACTCTCAACCTCAAGACGGCTTCCCTGTATCATATTATGGGATGCTAAAGAAGAATCATTTGGCCAAAGGATGTTTGTTCGTCATGCTAGAATCCTGTAATGCTGTTGGCATGAAAAATCTCAGAGAAAACTTAATGTCACTTTAAAATTCTTTGTTTAGTGGTATACCGTAATTCATTTGTTAGACCTGTGGTAGGGTATCAATTATCAAAGAATCCTGAAACATACTCGAACAGAATACTCCGTATACAATATGCTGTTTCATTGATAATACAGGGTGGTTACCCTTTTCCATGCAGTATATTTGTTTTTGCTTTTCGTTTTGTGATGAAGGAAAATTATCTTTTGTACTCAAATTGCCTGTATATTATGTATTCTGTATTGTGTTGAAGGCTTGAAGCAGGTTTTGTCCTGAGTTACTCCTTATCTGTGCACTTCCAGGTCCTGGCTGGCGATCTAATTTTAGCCCTTCGACACTGAAAATGATCTCCTGTTTATTTTTTTTGGATTCAGGGATTCAGATTCAAGTGAACTCGGACTTAGCGTCGCGTTCACTGCCTTTGATGGGCCGTAATACGCATCGCGTAGGACGGGCCTATTCATTGGGCCTGCAACTTGCTCTGTTGTCACTTCGCCACGGTGTTCTTCTCCACATCATCCTCTATAAAATCCACGTCGATTATGGATTTGCAGTAGGGATGAAAACGGCTAGAGAAAAATGATTATGAACATTGTTCGGAGCGGATAATTCTCAGATAATCCAGATACAAATACGATATACGGTGAAACATACCTTATTTCTCTTTAATTCTAGACTTTCAACCTACCTCTTTATATTTTCTGTTTTAATAGTAGCCCATCTCATGACACTATCCTGCACCAATAATATTATTTAAACTTTCAAATGTTTTTATAAATTATACTATAGTTTATATATTATAATATTAGTTAGACATGTGTTTATACCAACGCTGTTGTACATGTTAAACTTAATTAGCATTGTTTAGTTTATGATCAGACTTAGGCGGGAGTTCCCAATTCCCTACCCTCGTTTTCCGCACGCACGCTTTTCAAACTACTAAACGGTGCGTCTTTTGTAAAAGTTTCTATACGAAAGTTACTTAAAAAAATCATATTAATCCATTTTTGAAAAAAAACAGTTAATACTTAATTAATCACGCGTTAATGCGAACATCATTTTGTGTGCTGGGAAGGAGGAACCCATCCTCCCAAATACAGCCTTAATATAAAACAAGCTAATTATATGTGATGATACTTATTTCTATTAAAAGTTAAGACGGTTTTCGTGCTCTGAAAAATATTTGTTTATGTATTTGTGCCTTAGCATATTCGGTTCTTATTTGTATTTGAGGTAATTAATATTTATTTTTTGTATTCGAGCTATTCAAATTTATTTTTTTGTCCGACCAAAAAAAACGAAAACAAATACATTAGGAGTATCATCTGTTTGTATCAGCTTTGTTTTCATCCTAGTATGTTGTATGCTGTTTTTTTTTCGATGGTGAGAACGATATGTGAATGTGATTACCATCGATTCATAAATTAATCGAGGTAGAGAAGAACACATTTTCTCGCAACTAAGGATAAGACTATCATATTTTTCTCCTGAAAGAAAATATTATCTTTTTGAACTTCGAAAGAAAAAAAAAACGCAGTACAGTACCAGTAGTACTGTATTTTTATCTCTCTACCTTTATTCCTCCCTTCGTACTTTCGTAGCCAGCCAGAGAAAAATCTGGACCGTGCATTCCCTTCTCCAACGGCCCAGATCTCTCCTCCCACGCAGATTCCACCTCCCCGTTTGTTCGCTCCAGTGCTTCGCACAAGCAAGCGCACGCACGCACGCGCGGCTTTCTCTCTCCTCCCCCTCTCTCTCCCCTTCACCTCCGCACCCAACAATGGCGCAGCCAGAGAAGGTCTCGTAATCCAAAGCGGCCCGCCTCGAATCCCCTCGCGCAGCCGCCGCCGCCGCTCGATCCCCGCGGCGTCGCGCGGGGTCACCGGAGGAGAGCCGCCTAACAAGCCCCTCGCGAGCCCCCTGGGGGTATTCTGCTCCAGCCGGAAGGAATCCGCGGTGGAAGGCCGCCTTCGAACTCGCGGAGAGGTATATCTATATCTCGGAGCCTCGATCCTCCTGTTGAGTGGTGGCTCCCATTTATGTAGCGCGGTTTCTACGGGTGTTTCGATCCTTGTTCGATTTGATCTAGGGTTTTGGTTAGGGGGGTGGGGGGTATTGGTTGGTTAATCGCGTTGTTGGTGGTGTGAGTTTTTATTCATATATTATTCGGTTAGTGTGATTTTTGTGCAGCATATAGTAGCGGACTAGCGGGTGCTTATGATTGGCAGCGATTTTGCAGGAGATTTTACCCGAGGGTTTCGATTCCGAGCTTGGGATGTACGGTCAGGGAGGGAACTTCAATCCGCAGTATCGGCATGCTGCGCCACCGCCGCCGCCGCAGCAAGCTGGGGTAACGGGTGGCTTCCCTCAGCAACCACTACCACCGCCGCCGCCGCGAATGGCACAGTATCCGCAGCCGCCAGCAATGGCGGCGCCGCCGCCTGGACCGTACCAGCACAGGATGCCACTGGTTCAGAACCAGGCCTACCCTTTTGCCCAGATGCATCAGATGCCAATGCTACCTCAGCAGAGGGGTTACGCCCAGATGCCAATGCCAGGGCCGCCATCGCAGCCGCCGCCTCCACAAGCTATGTATCAGGCCCATCCTCAGTATCCCATGCCAGGGTCTCTCCCTCCACCGCCGCCACGGCCACCAAGCTTTGCTCCAGAGAATGCGCTGCCACCATCTAGCCCCCCGCCTCCATCTCCCCCACCACCACCACCGTCTTCTCCACCTCCTGTGCCCCCTTCACCAACCGCTGCCCCCACAACTGGGCAGTCATGGAATTCAGAGCCAGAAAGAAAAGAAGGTGCCACTGCCACAGATGTTGGTCATGATGTCAAAACTGAGAAGGTGACTAATCAGCTAATTGTCTCTGATGACTCGGATATGGATATGGATGGTAAGCGAACCTACCCGTCTTCTGCCTCTCAACTGTACACTGTTAATTTGTCACAATTCTAAAAATTAGTCCTGCATGCTGCTCCACTCTGTATTTGTAGTCAAACTTTGTCTTACTTTGTGCATTTATTGGACATGCTTCCCATCTTATTCCTACCTGATATAATGATCACCACTGTTTCTTGCAAAAAGACTGGTATAATCCTCCTGTCATCAGAAATATTGTTGAATCTCCATCTGCAGGACAGTTTATATGATGATAAACTATTAATATTTATTTTCCCTTTTGTAGCTAAAGCACCAAACACTTTACTTCTCAATTGATATGATACCTTAACTCCTGTGTTAATCCACTGCTAGATATTTACTTTATCAAGTTAAATTTCAGCTGACGAGGACTCTCCATCAAGGGAACATGTCAGTCCAATCAATTCTTCACTTGCAACTGCTGAATGTACTGGAAATGTTAACACGCGAAAGCCTGCGTGTGATGTTTCTAACCTTGTCAAGGACAGTGGTGGTAAGGCTAAAACTACAAATGTAACTGATGAAGGTAGGAGCACATTCCAACTAATTCAAGGCTATGCCTCAGATGACAGTGAAGATGAGGATGGTGCTTGTGCTGTCAGCAACCTTGTGCCATTGACTGAAAATAATGAGCCTGTTCATTCAATTGGTACAAATCCTGATATTGGCCATCAACTCCTTACTGAAGCTGCTCCTTGCACTGAGAGAAGTTTGGAGGATCGAGAGCATCAACTCATGAGTAAGAGCAATCCAGTGAAACATGATTCAGATGAACTTGGACATCCAGTCAAAGAAGATTTAAGTGGCAATGATTCTGATAGAGGGCAACAGACTAGAAGACATGGCAGGAGCCAGTGGAAACGAAGCCGTGGCCAGTCACCTCAGGGCAGGAGGAGCTGTAGCCCTCTGTCCCAAAGGTACCAAACCTTGTACCTTGCCTTCAACTTAAATTGGTGCATCAATTTATCTCCACAAATTGGAACTCTATTTGTTTTAGATTTTTATATGTCATCCAGTTTGCACAAGTGACCCCCTATGGGAGTCTAAGAATCTTAAATTTCTTTCAGTTTATCATCTGGAAGGCAAAGCAATTCTCCACTTGCTAAGCGGGCTAATCTACTCGAGAGCAAATCACCAGATGGAGTGGGTCAGACTTTCAGGGCACAACCTGGCGTCAAGCTTGGTATAAGCAAGGATGGATTCTACAACGACAAACATGATTCCCCTGTAAAAGTTGCCACTCCTTTTGATATTCATCCTGCTGGAGGGCACATTTCAGGAGATAGAATATCTGAGCAAGATGGCCTGATGGGAACAAAGAAGTTTAATGGTTCTCCAGATGATATAGATTGTAACGAGAAAACGAATGATGCATCTGTTGGTTCCTTTGGACCACATGGTCATGGTGCAGTTTTAACTTGTGGACCTTCTCAATCAGTTGCTTCTTCTGCAAATGGTTCTGATCCTCATAAGATGCAAAGGTCAGGCCGTGCATCAATACCTCAATCAGACATGGATAAATCATCTCTGGGTGCTCATCAAAGTCTTTCGAGTCAACCTCCAGGAATCTCATTTGCAACAGTACATGCTACTGAGAAGAATATGATGTGTGATGTGCTCCAACCTCATTCTCAGAATTTATGTCCTCCTGGACAGATGCCATCTGGTTTGAGACCAGCTCATATACCATCCTCAAATATAACCCCACTCCCAGGGCAACAGTTACTTTCGACTCCAGAATTTCCTCAGATGCACTTCCAGCCTAATGTTATGGCACCAGCTAATGAGTTTCTGCAGAGTCAGATGCAAACCTATCCTGCACCAGATCTGCCTCATCCTAGGCCATTGGATTTCCATCCTCATACTCTCCAGCCAGTTGTCCCTCCTCATCAGCAGCCTGCTGCCATGGTTCACTCCTCTTTCCAAAGATTCACACCAAATCTACCAGGAAGTACTGAATTTGGTGCTATATCTGATACTGATCTGCCTAAATCATCTATCAAGCCCCACTACAACCCTTTTGCGTCTACCTTTGAACAAACAGATCCGACTCTAAATATTGGCTGTGATGTTATCCCAAATCCAGTTGAGTCTGCTTCAACAAAAGCAGCAGAACACGCGAATGCACTGTCACCTTTTGGTCTGTCGGTTCCTGGATCTGGAACTCATGTGCGTGAGAATTCTGCGGAAGTTGTTTCCAGTCGGCAAAAGCAGCCTCATCGTGAATTCACTTCTAGTGCTCCCTATGATCCACTGCTCGACAGTATTGAACCCTCAAGCAGTTCAATCAACAAAATGGATCTTGGTCGAGAGGCAAATCTGAGTGCTAGCAATCATAATGCATCTAAAATTGTGAACATAGAAGTGGAGAGTAAAAATATGCATGGCCTGGGGCTTGTTGCTGAATCGGAAGTTGAAGAATTTGGAGAGGTGGCAGCAGATACTGAAGCAGGTGTTGTGGATAATTTAAGTCCTGAGCCCTTGGGTGCAAAAGACTGGAGCTCAGATATGCCCGGTGATATTGACAATGATGAATCGGTGGATAAAAATAAGAGGACTAAGGATTCCAGATCAATGAAGCTATTTAAGGTTGCTATTGCAGATTTTGTTAAAGAAGTTCTTAAGCCATCATGGAGGCAGGGAAACATAAGTAGAGAGGCTTTCAAAACCATTGTCAAGAAAACAGTTGATAAGGTTTCTAGTTCTGTCCCTAACAATCATATTCCAAAAACGCCAGCCAAGATCAAGCAGTATGTCCAGTCCTCTCAAAAGAAAGTGACCAAACTTGTAATGGTATGTCCACGATTCTTCTGTAGCAATATTGATTACTTAGTTTGATATTCTGCAAATACTCTTCTGACCATATGTTGTAGTTCTCTATAATGGATTGTGTTTAGTAACTGATTTTTTTATGCGTGATATGTTAAGTATCTAAACAGTAAACACAAATTTTGGAGAAAAAACAATTGCGTGATAGTAGGGAACAAAAGTTGTGTGTTCTAGTCAACTTTGTGCTATTCAGTTCTTTGATGTTGTGTTTTGATTGGAGATGTCCTGGTATCTTTGTGCAAGGAGTCTTCCAGCCACTTGGTAATTGGTTTGTGAGTTTCAGTGTCATGTTGTAATATACACTATTAATTGAATAAACCAGGTTTATTTAGCTATTGAATAAATTTGAAAGCACAAGTACTTTCAAGATTGAAACATTCTGATTCTGGTGTATGATTTTTTTTAGTATATGCATATAACTCTACAGTTGAAGGATCCCCTGAGCCAATCCTCTGAGCCAATCTGTTTCTTTTATTCAGGGCTATGTTGACAAATATGTGAAGCTATAGTTGGATCAGTAAATGGGACTATGAACTGGAGCAATCAGGACAGTGTCCTTTTCCTGTTGCAGAAATCGTGATGGGACTATGGACTATGAACAGCTCACACGAATCTGAGCTATGCTATGGTATTTTGGATCATCAATTTGCAGTCTTTCAGCAGTAAGGGATTCCGGGTAATAGTTCTGCAGAAATGGATGTATTTATCAGAAAATCACGAGTTTACATTGGAACAATTGCTGCCTAGTCTTCATAGCCTTGTAAGATGTATCTTTGCTCCACTGTTTCTTTTTTTCTTTTCTTTTGAGTAGTTTGCTCTACTATTTCACCATCATTAGGCAAGTGATAGTAGAACGTTCTTTAATACTGACTGCATGAACGCATTGCTGAAAAGAATTATATTTCTTCAAGGTAAATGTAAATGATTTAATCTTATTGCTACTTCAATAGTTCAATGAACGTGTTCATGTCTGATTTAGCCAAAGATCTCCCTAAGACCCTACCGCCTTTGCTGGATGCTAGTTTGACCATTTGAACAATATAAAGCGACTTAAACTGCAGTTGGCTCAATCTTTCTAATGTATTGTTATATTTACATGTTACAAGTAATGAACACACACCAATTTGACAAATATTTCTCATGTTGAGCTACGTATGTTACCATCGTGAAGGGGATCGCATTGCAAGATTCTAGAGCGTGGTGTTGGGCAGAGGCAGAGAGGAGGAATAAGTTCACTTAACGACTGAGTTTAGATCACGTACTAAACCGCAATATAAGGGCAGTAGCAATCATGGTTTCCCAAACCGCCGGGTTACCGTGCCTCGGTGGTAAGCACGGTAACCGTTGCAAACCGTACGAAACCGTGTAAAATTTATCAAAATTATTTTTTAAAAAAAATATTTATGGAGGTTACCGCGGTTGTCTTTTTACCGTACCCCCGCGGTAAGCGCGGTTACCACGGTTACCGGCGGTTCTGCAAACCCTGGTAGTACCCATTTGAGGAACCTAAAAATGCCATAGGTTCTGCAAACCCTGGTAGTACCCATTTGAGGAACCTAAAAATGCCATATAGGCTATAGGTACCGTGTCCAAATTTTGGTTCCCCACAGTGCAAATGGTCTCATGGGTGACTTCAATTTTTTGTTTCAGCCCCTACTACTTTTGATTTCAACCCTCATGTTTTTTTCTCAATTTACAAAGAAGTAAAAATTTTACAGTGAACATCTTACAGTGGAGAAAATAATACAAATCACAACCCCACCCAGGTACCCACCACCACTAGGTCCACAACCCTCTCCACTTTCCCTACCCACTCGGCGAGTTCACCGGCGACACCGCCGCCTCCCGCCTCTTCCCACCTCGGCGACGAACTCTGCTGCTGCCAGCCTTTCCCCACTCCCCATACCTTGGCAACGAACTCCGCCATCGGCGGCCTCTTCCACTGGAGCAGCGTGGGAGCTCGGCCTCCACCGGAGCTCGAGCGGATCCCACCTGGAGCTCGATGGTGCTACCCGAATCTCGCCCGGCGCGGGGTGGCGTTGCCGGACATGGAGCTCGGCCTCCACCAGAGCTCGAGCATATCCGACCTAGAGCTCGACGGCGCCGCCTAGATCTAGCCCGGTGCGGGGTGGCACCGCCGGACATGAAGCTCGGTGGCGGATCGGGCGACGGATTGGTCTCTCTTATCCTCTGTTGCCGGCTCCTGTCCTCCTCAACGTCACACCACCATCCTCTCCCCTCTCACCTCTCCGGGCGCCGGATGCTCAAGCTCACTGCCCCTCCCCAACTCTCGCAGATCGGGGGGTGTGGAGCTGTGGAGGGGCTCAACGGTGATAACTGCGGGGTGGGGAACATGGAGCGTTGATCCAGTCTACTATCTCTCCCCCTCTCCTACGCGTTCTCTGACGAGGCCGAGTGTTCTTCAGTAGGACGCAATGGGTGAGCTAGAGAAACGGGGCCCCACCATCTCTTTCCTCCAAGTAAGCTATTCACCGACGTGGCGCGATGAGGTAACTCGCCACGTCCCTGCACTGTGAAGGGCCTAAGATGTTTAACTTGCAAAATCGGAGTGCACGAGGTCTTCAGATAGTATTGAGGTCGGTTTTAGATGATATGGCACTTACATTCAGGAAAAAGGAATAAAATACGATGGTGGAACTTACATGTCAGACAAAAAAAAAACTACCCTTCTCTTCCCCCTCTCCCACTAACACGTCCTGACAGTGTGCTCCTGTCCCTCTATCTCCTTCCGCTGCCCCACCACTTAGCCACCTGTGGCGACAAACAGAGAGAGCTCGCGCATGCAAGGAAGTATCATCGTCTTCGCCCATCATGTTGGTATCCGCAACATTCGTTGGAGCAGGGGGGACCAGCCTCGTTCCTTGTCATGCTCGCTGTCGTGTTGGCTGTAGTGTGTGTGTGGGCGGCGTCGGGGATAGGCAGGAGGACGACAGGCAGTGCTTCGTCACAATCAACACGCTCACCATGGCCATCGTGTTGTACCTCCTCGTTGGCGACCTCATCGGTGTCGGCGTTGTCAATAATGGCAGGGTTGTCTCGAACACCTTCGTGGGCATGCTCCTAGTACTAGTGCTCTCTCTCTCTCTCTCTCTCTCTCTCTCTCTCTCTCTCTCTTCGTCGATGTTGTAGGAGGCTCACCGAGGGGCAGGACAAGCTGTCCTCCCCGGCGTCCCTCCCCCTCCCTGCGCTCAAAGCCTCCGTTGAAATCCACCGCCGCCGCAGAACCCCTTTTACCCCAAACTGGTCATGTGGCGGCTGCCGCGTGTTTGGACGAAGGTGCCATCCACATCATTGTGGTGGAAACAAAGGAAAATTCGATCCAAGAGGTTGGGGAGAGGGGGGGTGGGGAGAGAGAGAGAGAGAGAGCATGGGTTTGGGGATGGAATTTTCGAGCTTAGCTCTCCTCCCGTCAATCGCTGTCCTTCTCCCTGCTAGCCACCATCCTACCTTGGAGTCCATAGAAATGGGAATAGAGGGGAGGAAGTGAGAGATAAGGGCCCCTAACATGTAGGGCCCATGCTGATTCAGCGTTGTTGATTTCGATCAATTAGCCACGTCGGACAAAACCAGCCGCTATATTATCATGGGACCTCCTTTACATTGGTTGGTTTTGTAAGTTAAGGAAGATGTTATATCTGGTATTGCAGTTTAAGAACAAAATTTGAACTAGGTGTCAAGATAAGGACCTAAAGTGAACTAAGGGGGTGTTTGGGAGAGGGACTAAAGTTTTAGTCCCTCTCCCAAACACCCCCTAATTCCGCTTGCTCAAATGCCAGCCCAATTTAAATTCTAAATGTGGCTCCCAAGAATGGTGGATTATGCGATTTTCCACCGAACATGCCTAAAGCACAATGAATTGCTCACGGTTTGCTTGTGTTCAGGGGAACATAACCTTTTCAACATAACGAAAATCAGTAAGATTTTCCTCCATCCATGTCCAGCATATATGAGGAAAAGAATATGAAAATACCCGCTGAGTAACAATCTAAATCACACTGGGAAAAGAACTACAATGACACCCTACTGGTATGAAACTTTTGATCCGCTTGTGCTTTTTCCGTGATCAATGCATCAAGCTCCAGGCCTCAACGTCCAGAGGATTTAAAGAGAAATGAAATTACAGGTCCTGATCAATAGGGTGCCAGGGAAACGTTCAAGGCAACATGTTTTCATCACCCAGAAAACTACAGCCACCACAGCCAGATCATCTCTCTTTTCGCACCGCACCCTTGGTGACCAAGGCCATATAGCAAAAGGAAGGTTGGATAAGTTATGCAGCTACAAGATCAGGCGTCTCTGCCTCAACGGACAACAGGGTGGTATGCACTTTTCCAACCCAGGCGTCCAACCGCTCGCGCAACGCCTTCACCTGTGGAATTCCAAGTACTCTAGGCTGGACCCATGACACGTGAACTGTGCTGTCCACCTCATCAATTATCCCCTCTATAAGATGAACCTGCAAAATGGGGGAATCATTAATAATTCTCTCATATTCCAATTTACTTTTAAATTGTATGGCAATTGATGGCCTCATGGAAATACAGCACCCAGGCTCCATTAGCAACTAAATAGAAAACATCAGCATGGAGCTTTTGTAAGAAGCTGATAGCAGTGGCATTCTATCTTGGCTACCTATATATTCTGCCTTTCAGGGGCAGCATTATTATATACTATAATGTACTAACTGATGTAGAAAAGAACTGTAATGGAAGAAAAAGATGAGAACATCAACTAGGAATACTAGTTGATACATTGTGCAAACACTGAAGCCGTATAAGGTAAAAGCAATAGTAGCATGTAACAAGGAGAGACACAGGTTTGCTGTGATCAACAAACACAAATATATGAATCACATGTCTAGTTTAACTGACAACGCACACCCATAACTCACAACTAAAGATTCACAAAACAAACCATCAGCAATTAAAAAAAAAGACAAGTTCACAAAGGGGAGGAATTGAAGGCAGTAATTATCAAATAATCACTATCCATATACAGCTGCCACATTAAAATGACAGAAGCATTAGAAGCATTCTAATGTCTAATCTTAAAAAACAATTTATGCACAACAAAACTAGATGTTTATGAATGGCATTCATGCATTGTCTATCCCAACAATGAATTAACATGATATTGGCATATTGCAAATAATATCTTATGAAAGATCGAATGTAAGAAATGCAATTACCGAGAGGCTCTTCATAAGAAGATATTCCACATCACTGATAGAAAGCTTAGTGCGCTCGGCTATAACACTTAATGGGATAGTTCTGTCTTCTGACGCCCGGCTACAACATGAAAAAGAACACAGGGCTTAGAAGGAATAAAGGAAAAGGGGCAAGACATTTGTGGTGGCATAGAAAAGCAAGTAGCAAAGTTGTACCTAAAGATTATCTCCATCAGACATAGAATGTTGATCTTCTCTAGCAGTTTCCGTTCATTCTGCACCAAAGCTGGCTGAGCACTGAGAGCAGCATTGTGGACCCTACATAGTTCTTGGTAGAGAGCTAGGTTGCCGGTGTTGAATGCTTGTAACATATGATAGACCCACTCCACCTTGGTTCCAATAAGACTGTTGATCTAAGGATATAAAAATATAAACAACTTCAGACAGAGATGTACCAAATGACAACCATATATGCCGATATATAGATTTAGGGGCCATTCAATATTTCAATCCCATAAAGGCTACCTTGTGTCTGGAATTTTTTTGTTTGGTATCCACAAGTCAATATTGATTTTTCCATGCACAAAAAAGATGGTTTGCCATTAATTCATGCAAACTTAAGTTTATGCTATTTCAATTCAAGAAAATACGAAGTTTACATAATTATAATATAGTGGTTCACAATTACATCATTCAACATTCAGCAAAAAAGGATCAGGCATAGGATATTTCATCATTTTGATATGCTTTACACAATCGGTAGCATTTTATTGTGTCAATGTTAACTGCATACATTCAACTCATGAAATTTCTGCTACCGATTTGGCAATAGATGTAAGTTACTGTGTACAAAACTCCGAAACTTAACTACCATAACATACACAGGTACCTTGGACGCCTTGCAGTTCTAGCAAGCATCAGATAAAAACAACTAATAAATAATTATCAGAACTGGCAGTTGTGAGTACCAAGAAAAGCCACATGTAATGTTTATATAGGCAAGCAGAGTTAATTTTAATCAAGCAATCAAGAAACACAAAAAAGTATGGATAAAACAAAGGTGGTACTACTAACTAGTGGCAACAAAAGAAATCATGCGTAAGCAAAGTCCAACTTACAATCGGGTGAGCTAACAATTCCCCAAAGTTGTAGATGTTATCACCAAGCAAGGCTGCAAGGGAGAGATCAAATGCCAAATCCTGACACAAGACAGCATCAAAGGGTAAACATAGATGCAAGATACATTATTAAAATAATGCGAGGAGGAAATGATTTTTTGTCATGTAATTGCATTGTTAACAATAGAACATACCAGTTTGAAAGACTCAGAGAGTGACTCTACAGTAGTGTAAGCCAGATACAGAAGGGCATTCTTGTAGAACTCAGCAAATTCTTGGCGAGCCTTATGGTACTGAGATGATATCCAGTAGAGGCTAGCATGAACTGTGGGATCAACATCAGTCATGCTATCTAGAGTAGATTTTCCTTCGTCCAAAAGTTTCTTGCACTCCTTCTGATTTCCCTTCTCCAGGTTAATCGCAGCGATTTGCATCTTGACGTAGAGAATGGGTTCATTGATGCGCAGGTCCTTTGTCTCGCGCAATTTTGTGATTACCCCCTCGAGGAAACTTATAGCAGCATCCTTGTCGGGGTACTGGCGCGAAGCGATGACCGCGAAATGCGCAAGTTTGAGAAGATTGATCTTCGTCTCGAAATCAGTGATGAAATTGTTGTAGAGCTGTATGAGGGTGTCACCCGTCTGTAGGAGAATGGATGCCGCTGTTAGAATTGCAAAAACGCAGAAGGCACAACACAGCAGTTACAAACCTAAGCAAGGTTCAAACAACAAGAGTAAATTTCACTTTGGGCATCTTTATCAACCAATATTTCACAACAGAGTAATGGACTAGGGTTAAGGCTTATCCTTTCACATAACATCACATATAATTAAAATCTTTTGCGCTTTGGACCACAGCTTATTCCCTGGTACCTCAATTTCCAGGTAGTGAAATCTGATCTTTAAATATTTCATATGCAAGTAATGAAACCCAAATATTTATCTTCGAATGTTCATATGTACTTTTCAAGGTTGAAACATGAGGTTTAAATCTCCACAAAGTGGCGGCCTGTTTGCGGCCGGATCGGTATCGAATTTAGGGCCCATCCAGTCCAACTAGGGTTCAAATCGAACTAGGCACGGTGGGTAGGGTTTGCGGCGAGATCCGTACGGGGGGGACAGCAGCTAACCTAACCAAGAACAAGAAGGCGCTTGCAAGAGAGGGTGAGGGGAGGAGGTGGTGGGAAACCTGCGCGGCAGGGAGCTGGAGGAAGTGGTCGAGCTTGAGGGTGAGCTGGTGCCAGAGCTTCCGCTGGTAGAGGTCGGCGAGGTCGGCGTACGGGTCGGCGAGCTCCGGCCGCGCCTCGCGCTGCGACTCGACGAACTGCAGCGCCATGGAGAAAAATCCCCCCACCCAGGAGTTGGTCGCTCGCTAGGGTTTGGGGAGGAGAGGAGAGGAGGCGAGAGGGGGATCTGCAGGCGCGGCGAGCGGAGGCGAACAACAAAGAGCAATCTCTTCTCTTTCCTTCTTTCTTGTAAGAGGAGGAAAGAGTAGGAGACGGAGACGGAGACGGAGAGAGAGAGATACTTTGCGTGGGCTGGGCTGATTGGTGCTGCTGCTGCCGGCCCGCACGAGGTCGGGCCTAGTGGGCCTAGTGGGCCTTATAGGCCGAATAGTTTGTTAAGTCTGTTTTTATTGAGTGATCTTTTTTAAGATCATGTTTATTAGGTTCGCAACTTGTATTTAAAGGTTGTTTTGGGAATTTCTACTTGGTAATTTCAACTTATATTTGAAAATTTTCAATTCAAATTTTTTAAAAAAAATCAAATCCACCCAAAATTTGAAAACTTCGTATATTACCATCGTGACAAAGTGAATCTCAATGCTCCCTGCCATGTTGTTTGAAGTGATCTTACGCTGAATTTCTTTTTCATTTTCCCAACCTATCTCACTTGTTTTTCACGCCAAGTTTTTCAAACTACTAAACAATATGTTTTTTTAAAAAAAATCTATACGAAAGTTACTTTAAAAATCATATTAATTTATTTTTCAAGTTTTTTAGATTAATACTTAATTAATCATGCACTAATGTGTAATATCGTTTTTCATGTAGAGAGGCAGGGGCGGAGCTAGAACGAAATGGAGGAGGGTTCCTCTTGCTTAATTTACTCTAATTTAGATCAAGTTTTAAGCTGATATGTGTATGCCTAAGTTTGTATTAAGGAGGGTGCACACATGGTGAAAATCGGTGAGTTATAACTAAAAATTTTTTTTTGACCGGATTCTTGGGCACCCCTTCCATACTCTACCTCCGCCCCATCAGGGAGGTGGAGTTAACACAGTCTTAAGGTGGAGCCCAAGTGGCGTGCAGAAGTTTCTCTAGATTTGCAAGTGTTTGGGAAATGCACATATGTGGGCTCTACATTTTCCTAAAAGTAAAGAAAAATAGAATTCCAAAACAACCTGTGAGTGCTGCTCACATAGGGTGTAGGAGAAACGAGAAAGGGATCGTATTCTTTTAAATGGAGTATTGCTTGAAGCTTGGCATAAAACTCGAGTTTGGCTTAAAGCTAAGGCCAATCTAATGGGGTCAGGGTTGCAGTTGTGGTTACGTACCTCGCTATGGGTTTTTGACTTTATGCCATTCTCCCGGATACGTATTCTCAAATACCATCATTATAATATACTTAAATTATTTGTCATCTGTACTCACTAGATTCTTTCTATTTTGTCACTTTTAACTACCAACTCAGCAACTTGAGATGAGAATGACTTTATTGCACCATCTCTTCCTTCTTTCGTTCATCTCTACTTTGTGTATGAACTTGTCTTCTCTCTCCATTCGTCCCTCTCCAGCATGCCGAAGAGTCTATCAACATTAGCGTTGGCGCCATCCATGACACCTCGATGAGGAAGTTAAGTAGGCCCCAGGTGGCAGAGCTACTTGAGAGCATAGTATTCATCGTCTAGATTGACATGCTGGCGGAAGTTGTTGCGGCGACAGTCCCTTTTCCTTGGCATCGTCGGCAGTCGATGAAGAAGGGGAAGGGGTAGAGCTGCGACGAGGTCCTTGTCAACCCTGCAGTCACCATCCCCAACAAGGTGTGGCTCAGGTTGATTCCTTGATCGACGATCACTGCTCGGGGATCCAACCTAGATCTAAGCGACCGTCCCTCACAACTCCACATAGGGAAAAAGTGACGACGTCGATAGCGCAGGGGAAGAGCAGAGAGAAAGGGACAACTGGTGCTTGTAGGCGGAAAGCTTGTCCGCGTGCATGACCTTGTCGAAGCTGGAGCAACTCGTTGACCAAAGGGAGTGGAGTTTGAAAGGGTGGGAGAGAGCAGATAAGGGATAATTAGATCTTTTGTTACACGGTTGGCTGAGCTAGCAAGAAAAATGGCAAAATAGCAACAATCTAGTGGGTCCGATGGCAAATAAATAAAGTTGTTTGGTAAGATGGTATTGGAGAATATGTCGCTGAGAAATATGGCAAATAGTCCAAGATCCCCCTAGCTACTTCCTTCTCCTTCGTGCGTGTTTTAGCGTGTAACTGCTTCGTGCTGGCTTTTTCTTTCTATAAACGTTTGATGAATTCTGAAACAGCTGGAAGAGCAAGTTTGCTGGCAAGGTAGTATAGGGATATTCCACCCGGGCTAGAGCATCGCATTCGCATATATCGGCGCTAGACGCCTTCACCATCGTAGCGTGACACCAGCAAATTCCGCAGCCAGCAGCCAGCAGCCAGCAGATCCGCAGAAGTCCCCAATCCGTCCAAGCTCCAACAACGCTGGGGAGTGTGGCCCCGCCTGGCCCCCACCAGCTCCACCAACCGAGGCACACGCTGCGGCTGCGCGAGCAGGGCCCAGGTGACGGCCGCCCGCACGCACACGACACGACACCAACGACGCGACGCTTCCCCTTTCCCCCCCTCCTCCGCCGTTCGCCTCCACCCCCCACCCACTCCACCGTCCCCGCTCTCCCCCCATTGCCGCCGCCGCCTGCGACGGCCGCGAGCTCATCCCGAGACGACGTCTCTAGCTAGCATCGAGCGTTCTTTCTCTCCTCGGGCTCTCGTTGGTAAGCCCTCGATTCCGGTTTCCTCCTGCTTCTCCTCCAACCTGCCCCTCGGATTAGTCGCCAGTTTGTTCCTCGTTAGTTCTTGCAGTAATTATAGTGCTAAGCTCCGGTTGTCCGTCGGCAATACGCCGGTAGTCCATGCACCAGTCTCGTTTTCATGGGTTTTGTTGTTTGCAGCAGGCATACCCCTGTTTCGCTAGCTCAATCAATCATTTCATTGCTACTATTTTTTTTGTTTTACTTTGTATTTAACGAGTACTTGCATCTATGAAACAAACTTCACACAAATTTGATGCTCATCAGGTTCTTAGTTCCACCTTCTTTTGTGTTTTTTTTGTTCAGTTGAGATAAGGCAAATCAAGAGAGCAAAATTTTGGTGGTACATGTGGTGATTCTATGTCGACAAGGCGTCATCTTGCAGTATTTACCACTGCAAGCCTCCCATGGATGACAGGAACGGCCATCAACCCGTTGTTCCGGGCGGCCTATCTTGCAAAGGATGGGGATAGGGAGGTCACCTTGGTAATCCCCTGGCTTTCTCTGAGGGACCAAGAATTGGTTTACCCGAATAAGATTGTGTTCGGTTCGCCTTTGGAGCATGAGGCCTATGTTCGTCGCTGGATTGAGGAGAGGATCAGTTTCAGACCTTCCTTCAGCATCAAATTCTACCCTGCGAAGGTACATTGATATATTAACGCAAAGAGTTCATTAACCATTTAACCCTGGAATTCTCTATTCTTTGTGAGATTTTCTTTTAGGTGGTTCTGTACTTGATATATCAAGTTCTCTATACTTTGTGGGATTTTCTTTTAGGTACATTGATTTATCAAGTTCTCTACAATACTATTGTCTTCTATTTTACTTGGAAAATAAAATCGAGTCAAATTGGTTAAATATTTACCGTTGATTGAACCTGATTACCTTACCATGGAGTTATGGTTAACCTGGGTCAGTTTTGTCAGAAACTCAACCCCCTTTCAGGTTTCAGCTAACTTTAAAAAAATGCAGCTCAATACAGATGATGTGGTGCATATACCATTTTTATTTGCACTGTTAGCTTCCATCTAGTAATACTCATATTTATATCTTTTTTTTGCTTTAGGGATTTTCAAGACAATTAATACCCTTTTTTCTTTATGATGCAGTTCTCTAAAGAACTGAGAAGTATTCTACCTGTTGGAGATATCACAGAATGTATTCCAGATGAAGTGGCTGATGTTGCTGTTCTGGAAGAACCTGAACATCTCAATTGGTACCACCATGGGCGCAAATGGAAAAATAAGTTCAGGCGAGTGATAGGTGTGGTTCACACAAATTATATAGCATATGTGAAAAGAGAAAAGAATGGACAAGCGATTGCCTGTTTCATGAAGTACATGAACACCTGGGTTACCCGGATTTATTGCCACAAGGTAACATCAACGCCATATATAACAACAGTGAAGATCCCAAGAATTATGGTGATTAATCTGAGGATGCATTTTGCCCATTTAATTTATGTTCCAATTTTACATGGCGTCTTGATGGAAATGAAAAATACAAGAGACATGTCTTTTCAGATTTTTCTGTCTGAATGCATCTGGTTGTTTTGGCTTATGCTCTATTACATATTTATTGAATTTGAAGAACCCCAAACTCCCATAATCATCATGTCCTTATTAAAGCATGCAATACTGACTTTTGTTGATTTTAGAACAGATTATCAGATTGTCAGGTGCCACCCAAGATCTTCCCAGATCTGTTGTGTGCAATGTCCATGGCGTGAATCCAAAATTTCTTGAGGTAGGTAAACTAAAGTTGAAGCAGCTGCGGAATGGGGAAATAGCCTTCACAAAAGGGGCATACTATATTGGGAAGATGGTGTGGAGTAAAGGATACAGGGAACTTCTTGACCTGCTGTCCAAATATCAGAGCAAGTTGGTGGGTTTGGAAGTAGATTTATATGGTAGCGGAGAAGATTCCGACGAAGTTCGAAAATCTGCAGAACTTCTGAGTTTGGCCGTGAAGGTTCACCCAGGACGTGATCATGCAGATCCCCTGTTCCATGAGTGAGTTCTCTTATTGTTCAAAAACTTCCTTCCGTCTTCTTAATTATTTGAATGAACATGAGCGTACAACTAGACAAGTTTAACCAGCTACTTTTTTCATTGTTGTTCAAAAATGAGTTTGAGGGTTACATATCATTATAATTCATTGCAACAATGCAAGGTTACTGAACTAAACAAAACGTTGAACACAGGCTACATAATGAGGTAAGACAAGAAACTGAGAGTGCTAAATCACCTAGGAATGCAATATAACTCATAATATATTTTGTCATCTATATTACATTCAGCATATGGCAATGGTTTGTGTGGATACTGAAACACTTCAATTTCCCAACAGCTATAAAGTATTCATCAACCCTAGCACAACAGATGTGGTCTGTACAACAACTGCCGAGGCCCTTGCAATGGGAAAGATTGTCATATGTGCCAATCACCCTTCAAACGAGTTCTTCAAGCAGTTCCCTAATTGCCGCACCTATGACAGTGGCGAGGAATTTGTACAACTAACGCTGGATGCTCTAGCAGAGCAGCCTGCTCCACTGACTGACATGCAGAGTCATGACCTATCTTGGGAGGCCGCGACCGAGAGATTCATGGAAGCCGCGGAGCTGAACCTTCCTATCTCAGCAGAGCCAAGAATCCATCAAACATCCAAGGTCTCTCTCCCTGCTTTTATGAGGACTCGTAAACTGAAACAGAGCTTGGAGGATGCATCAGTTTACCTGCATCAAGCACTCTCAGGACTTGAAGTCACCCGTCGCGCCTTCGGTGCTGTTCCGAAGACGCTGCAACCTGATGAGCAGCTGTGCAACGATCTAGGTTTGGCTCCCGCCAAGAAAAAGAGGTTGAAATTGAAGCTGATGACCTGATGATGTAACTTCTCTTGAGCCCCTGATTGCATCGTGTCATTTCCTTTTCTGCACATTATATCCGAGGAGTATGTATGAATCCTAATGGAGGATCAGTGCATTTTCCATTAGTATGTTTACTTAGTTCAGGATGTAAATTACACTACAAATGTAATTGGACTATTGGAGACTTTGGAGTACTAGTACTACTAACCTAGTGGCTTTATTGAAAATTTAAAACTGTGATGTGATTCTGCCCATCAGTGTCTTCTTAATGTAACAGTACTTCTGTACTTATCATCCTACATTGTGCGCTGGCAAATGCTTCTGAAGTTGAATTTCCACGGAACAGTATTATAAACTAGTGCTAGATCTTTCACCAATCTTTATTAATTTTCTACTACAAGGTTGCAATTTGCTTAAGAATAGTAACGTGCAAGTTAGTAGTACTCCATACTATAGTATGCAATCATTAATTGCCTTGCAAGTTGCAGCATGGTTCCCACACACTCGTTTGCACTTGCAGAAAAGTTTGCAAGTTGACTCAGCCAGCACAAACTTGTTAGCTGCTGCTTAAGGCTTTCTCTGGATTGAAGGAATTTTACAGAAATTTTGATCAATTCATGTAAAATTTCTGCGTGTGGTACAAAGGAGTAGGGAAAGATGCAACCGTCGCATGGTACGAAGCAGCTGCTAACAAGGCAACTGCACCGCAGATCGTACAGCGGTCAGTTAGCCTTTATTAGCACCTACTCCATCAGTCCAAAAAAGACAAATCATAAGTTTCCGTATCTAACGTTTGACTGTCCGTCTTATATGAAATTTTTTATAATTAGTATTTTTATTGTTGTTAGATGATAAAACATTATTAATATTTTATACGTGACTTGTCTTTTTATTTTTTTTTATATTTTTTTTAAATAAGATGGACGGTCAAACGTTGGATACAGAAATCCAAGGCTTGTCTTTTTTTTAACGGAGTGTGTAGCTATTGATTTCGTCCAAAACAACATCATTAGCTGGTGCTAGTGTGGAGATTATGGCGAGCTGTCACCACCAGAATGACTCTGTAGCGAAACAGGATGCATGCCATGCCAGGGCAAGTTCTGCATGGTGCACAACTATGCATGTACGTGCACGGCACTATCAGTGGATCGACTAGTAAATGATAGTACTATGCCCGTAATATAAGCAAAGTTTATATATACGCAGAAGAATGCTATTGGAACAAGACAACACAGCACATTCAACTTGAGAACAATATAGGTGATGTTTGAAAAGCAGGGACTAAACTCACAAAAACATAAATTCCTATGAGAGGGACTAATCCCTCCTTCCCAAACACCACCGTAACATCATTATTTGCTTGTACTATGCTACTGATTAGTTTGGCTCTGATTTGAACCTGATGTTTGTCGATTTAAATGTGTGGACGTGTCAATCTAAATTTTCGAACTCTCAATTTATCTTAGGTGTCATGCAGATCCAAATAGACTCCAATCTACTCGTGCTAATATTCATATCACGATAACACCTATGTATCAATGGGACTCATATGTTAGTCACATAGAAGAAAATAAAGATATCTCATCTCTCTATCGCTAATCTATTGTAGGCGTCTCTCTAGCGAAAATATGTTTTTAATTTTATTTTTTATATGACTAACATATGGGTCTCACTGACACGTATACGTCACCATGGCATGTCACGTCAGCCTACGAAGCGGGTTGGTGCCTGTTTAGACTTATATGACACCCATCACAAGTTTAAGGACTTGAAAATGCATTTTGATAGTTTGGGGATGAGGATGACCGTACCTGCACAAATTTAGAAACCACCCGTACACTGCGCTCTTTGGATTTTAAGTTGTTTGGATTTCCCTTCTAAACACATAATTGTTGTATGGATTCCCATGCATTAGAGTTAGTATCTCACAACTGATTATTTTATGTACAAAAATTGAATATGACTATAATTATATCCAACAAGGCTAATTCGCGAACGCATTATGACCACATTATGACAAGCAGCTGGATTAGGGTTTGGGGTTAGGTAGAGGGGGAAGCAGGGATATTCCCTAAGCTTAGAGGAGTGGCCGGGGAGGCGGTGTGTGGTAGGCAAGGATGGGCATCAAGGCGGTGGGGGCAAAGCAAACATGAGTGAGGGGAAGGGGGAAGGAGAGCGGGAGGCAGACAGGCAGTCATCCAAGTGTGCCTCGCCGACATGTTGACGCGCCTTTCAACGGTGGCAAGGCCGAGTGGCGCCAACGGAAGGTGGTGGAGGTAGGGCACTGCATTGCGAGTAGGTCGAGCTTGATGGCATCGTTGGGAGATCGTCAAAGTAAAGTAGTAGCAGCACTACGTTATCAAAGAGGTCGTTGTCTACTCCTTCCCTCTCACCGTCTCTTCGTACAGATGTATTAGATGAGGATGAGAGGATGAGGTGGAGGGAAAGATAGGCCTTGAGCTGACATCACACGATGATGGCTGCACGTGGACCTCGTCGTCGTTTTTCATTCACGTATTGCTAGACACTCGAACGTGTGCGCATTAGACCCATCCAATTATATTTGCAACTGGAAAAGCACATTTGAGTACTAGAATAAATGGTTTTGGGCCTTCTTTTAAACACAATAACTTTATGGTATTTTCATGCATCAGAATATCAATAAAATTCCTCGGTTAAAAAGTCTCGCTTAACACACCCCAAAATTCAACAATTAAGGCTATGTTTTTTTTATGTAAGTTGAGAACTACACATGTAAAACAGAGTAGCGGATAAACGCATGATTCATTAAGCATTAAAAACTTAAAATATATTAATATAAATTTGTAGAGCAACTTTCTTATAATATTTTTTTAAAAAAACACATCGTCTCATAGTTTGGGGAGTGTGAGAAGTGATACAAATTGGAAAAGGAGAGAAAATAACACCGAGTACCAGTAGGCTGTAGTGGTTTATTTTTTAAAATAACGAGTAGTCGAGTATCAATACTACTTCCTCCGTCCTATTATAAGTGCAGCCATAATTTTCCGTGCGTAATTTTAACCGTCCGTTTTATTTAAAAAAATTTGAAAAAAAAATGAGAACATAAGTCACGTATAAAATATTATTCATGTTTTAACATCTTATAACAATAAAAATACTCATTATAAAAAATAAATAAAACAGACGATCAAAATTAGACACGGGGAAATTATAGTTGCATCTATAATGAGATGGAGGGAGTGGTTCACTTCCTTTTCACGGAGCAATGAGATCACCTGATCGGCCTTAGCCAGTGTCGCGATCAGACCGACGTGGAGACGGCGACCGCGGCGCCCAGTAAAACCGTTTCCGGCCGCCCATTTCTTCTCCCCCCACGATCCTGACCGTCGGTCCAATCACGCCGGAGCCCGCGCGGGCAGAGAGAGCAGAGCCACCGCTTTTTTTCCCGCGCCGAGACAGCGACGCGTCGGCCCCGCCGTATCCGCCTCTCCCGATCCTCCTGTCCCCCTACCCCCAGGTAGGCCCCACCCCGATTTTTCACATTTTGGTCTTTTTGAAAAACTTATTTCGTAAATAGACACCTAGAAAAACTTATCCCAAAAATGATCCTTTTTGGGGCGCCAGAGTGGCTGGCGCCGTCGTTCAACAGGACGGCGCCAACCTCTTTGGCGCCGTCCCCCTGCCGACGTGGCGGGGCGATGCTGAGATGGTTAGGGGGAGTGCGCCAGAGTGGCTGGCGCCCTCCCCCCGAAATTTTTTATTTTTGTTTTATTTGTTTGATATTTTTTTTCACGCTTTGGGACACACAAGAACCAACCATAGAAAAATTGAACTCAAATGGACGTAATATGTGACATGTAGAATTTTTCCTCTCCTCTCCTCTCTCTCCGAACTAGTGCAGAGGAGAGATGTGCAACTTTTTTATTTTTATTTTATTTTTTTGATATTTTTTTCACACTTAGGAACCCACAGGAACAAACCATGTAAAAAATAAACTCAAACGGACGAAATATGTGGCATGTGGAATTTTCCAAAGCTCTACCGAAAAACTTCTCTCCTCGAAAACACAATCTTGCAAGCGGAATTTGGAGGTTTTAATATCGCCGAACCCGGCAAAGCTGAGGAGAATTGGATGTAACTTTTTCTGTAGATGTCCGTGCATATATTATTTGCCTGATTCCGAGTCCGTATGAGAAAGTTACGCCTATTTTAATAGATGACATATTTTGTCCGTTTGGGTAGAGATTTGGAAAATTCTACGAGTCACATATTTTGTCCATTTGAGTTTATTTTTTATATGGTTGGTTACTATATTCTTCTAAGTGTGAAAAAAATATCAAAAAAAATGAAATAAAAATAAAAAAATTGCATCTCTATGTACTGTTTAACTTATATATGTTATTTCATGTGGTTATATTTTGAATTAGATTAAGTAATTTCATATAGTGGTAGAGTGCATTATGTTTAACATGCTGATCAAAGGGTTTTACTAAAGGAATTATGGTCTAATTTTAGTGAAGGTGCAAAGTAGACTAAATGGTATGCTATCTATTTTTTCAGACTTAGCTAAGTGGTTGTTCGAGTTTAAATTTTTTCTGTGGTTGGTTGTATCGTGATCCTGAGTGTGAAAAAACATTCGAGAAAATAAAATAAAAATGACACCGTTGCAACTCCATACAGAGAAACAGGAATGGAGGCGGATGGCTGGCGCCCTCCTCCCTAGGGCGGCGCCAGCCATCCTCCTGCCACGTCGGTTCGCGTGTGCCACGGTGACAGGAGGACGGCGCCAGCCTCTCTGGCGCCGTCCCGTTGGATGACGGCGCCAGCCACTCTGGCGCCCCAAAAATGACCATTTCTGGATAAGTTTTTTTAGGGGTCTATTTGTGAAATAAGTTTTTTAAAAGGACCAAAATGTGAAAAATCCAGCGCGGCGCCCTCCGCCTCGTACGGTACGGCCCGGCCCGTGGGGCCCACCTCGTCGCAGCGGCCGGTGCGCGGCGGCCCTGTGGCGAGTCGACACGCGGCGGCGAGGCTCCGCCCCTCCTCCATGTGGGCAAGTTGGGCCGACCGGCCACTTGCCGGTGGGGTGTGGGCCCCCACGCGTGCGTGGCGCGAACGTGTCGCGGTCGGCGCGCCGGCGCACACGTGGCGGGCGGGAGGGGGTAGACGGTGTACGGTGTACCCTCGGGGGAGGCGCGGAGTGGGGCCCACGTGTCGGTGTGGAGGGGTGGGTGTGGATCGGGTGAGAAGAGGTGGAGGGGTAGTACGTACTACCTGAAAAAGGGTGGGGGCCACTGTGCAAGTTGGGTGACGCGGGGTGCACCTGACGACGTAGTAGTAGCAAGGACTGCAGGAGGTGGGAGGTGGTGGTCTTTTTTCTGATCTCGGCTCGGCTCGGCTCCCCTCTATTTCAATTTTCAAGGCACGTGTCGGCTACGGCGATGGTCGGCTTGAGCCGTGAGCCCGAGCTGCGGTGTTTGTCCCGCCGCGGCCTGGTCGGCTTCGGCTCTCGGCTCCTCGCGAGGTGGCGCGCGAGCCGCGCCACGCGTCGTCGATGGGTCGACACGTGTCGCGCGCCGCGTCCGGGGGTGTTTGCCGTTCCGACGAAACCCCACGCCCCAAAAGCGAAAGCGAGCCGACCCCGAAAAGGAGGATTTTTTTTTTCCTTCCTCTCTCTCTTCTCCTCCTCCTCCCTTCCCATCTCCGCCGCGGAGAGGCGCAGGCGAGGGCGCGCGTTCCCCGCAATGGCGGCCACCTAGTCCCTCAAGGAATCCTCGTAAGTCGCATCTTCCTCTCTCTCTCTCTCTCTCTCTCTCTCTCTCTCTCTCTCTCTCTCGCCGCGGCGGGCGGCAGCAATGGCGGATTACTCGCTCGGTCAGTTCTTGGCTCACCACCGTTGGTGTTCCCCTGTTTCTTGGTTCACGCCAGGCGCTTCTTCTTCTTCTTCTCGGATGCGAGAGCTTGCTGTGATTGCTGGCTAGCTAGCTTGCCGGAATGGAGGGCTTCTCGAGGGACTTGCTGTGCGGCATCGGCAAGGGAGGAGACGGGCCCCGCGGCGAGGTGAGGCCGCGCGTGGACATGGAGGCTGAGGAGGTGGAGCTCAACCTCGGGCTGTCGCTCGGCGGCCGGTTCGGGCTGGACAGGAGAGGGGAGAAGCTCGCCAGGTCGTCGTCGGTCGCGGCCATCTTGGCGGCGCCGACGGAGCCGTCGGCGCCGCCGTCCGGGCTCTTCAGGACGAGCTCGCTGCCGACCGTGGCCGCCGCGGAGGCGGCGAAAAAGCAGGGTGTGGATGAATTGAACTGTCGCCGCCCGAGCGGCGGCGCGGAGGCGGAGCCCGCGGCGGCGAGGCTGCCGGCGAGCGGGAGCCCGTCATCGGGCTCGTCGGACGGCGAAGGGCGCAGGCTTGAAGGTGCGTCATCGCTTCTCTCCATGGGGGCGTGTGCTATCTATCTATCTTTAGCTTTTATGATTTCATACCTAACCGATGTTAATTGCGATTCTTTGGTAATATATGCTGCTAATTATGCAAATTAGACACGAATTGTTTGGGTGAATTCAAGGTGAAATGCACATTGGGAAATGTGAAATTGCCCTGCCATATGTCATTTACCTGACGTCCTGGTGGTAAATAAAGTTTGGATTAAGATGCTTGGGCGTTGGTCTTTGGCAAAGCTAATGAGATCTTCCATCACTGGTGCTTCCTCGTTAACACCGAGGACTGTAATTTCGATTTACAGCTTAAATTATCCAACAGTGAAATTCGTCTGTTTTACCCCTCTTGAAAAAAAAAATTTCTGTTTACAACTGTTGCTTCCATCATCTAAAAATGTGGTTGCTATCAGTATATAGTTTTTAGGATCGTGCTGCTGGCTTGGCAAGTCAGTTTCAGGATATCTGTTCTTGTCAAGTAGCCCTTTAAGTCACATGACACGCGCAAAAAGAATCTTAATGGGTATTCTTCCTTGTTCTGTAACTTTCTAATTTCACCTGCAGTAGACTTTCTTCAGTACTCCTTTTATAGGAACGCCTACAATCTTTTTAACCCAAAGGGTGAGGATGGGAATTAAGTAAATATGGATAACTGCTAGAATGGATAACTTTGTAGTGAACTGAATTCATAGATCTTATTCAACTAAGCAATCAGATTCAGCAAGCTTTTTTTTTTTATCCGTGAAGATTATTACCACAGTTCAGTGACTAGTGGCAGGACACGTGGACGTGGTGCAGTGTTTACAGTGATGAACAAATGACGATAAGCACTCGAGATTAAGGAAAAATCATCTTTTATGTTTCTAGATTAAGGAAGACTAATTATGCTTTGCCTTTGCTCAATTCATAGATACTCTTCCTCACATGAAAGAAACTTAACACTCAGTCATCAGCAGTTAGCAGAATTAGTTTGAGCCTGGGTAGCATGCATGGTAGAAATTGAAGAAGTCTTTCATACAACTAAGATCTGAAATAGTAATTAGATACAGAGTGGTTACTGGTTACCAAGTTTCTTCTAATACATAGTTTCTCTTATTACTTAATAATCGCACTACTTCAACAGCAGAAAGAAACGTGTCCTATGTGTGGATTCAAGTGTTAATTGGTTGCATAGCATTTTATTTCCAAGGGAGGTGTGAACACCATTTTGTTAACGTCAAGAACATATTTTTGATAATTTGAAAATTTTAAAAATGGTAGTTAAAGTAAAATATATGAATTTCAACTCTCAAATAGAAACTAGCTTTTTGGGGGAGGCATAATTTTTTTATGGTGAACTAATCACACCTCACTTCTTAGTCAATAATGATTTTGATCCTTGTAATGCAATCTATGTATGTATTCCTCTCATTAATGACAGCAAGCAAGAGCTTTACATAGACATTGAGTTACGTCTTTGGATGGATGTTGGTACCCTTTGTTAGTGGTAGCCTAACCTAATGCGGTGTTTATTTTGAAGCTTCCAGAAATAATACAAGATGTTCTATTAGCATATTAGCAACAAAGGACATCAGCAGATTTGTTTTTGTGTTACTCCGAATAACAGGTAGCAAATTCATGGTGGAAATGTACATGGAGCTCGCAAACATTGGCTAATTATGGAGCAATTCAAGTTGGGTTCAGCGACGGTTGATGTTAATTACATTTTGTTTCATTATCTAATATTTAACAACAATAATAGCAGGTGCAACAGCACAATGTACATATGTAGGTGTTGAATCAAGGTTGATGCTACCTGGGTAGCTAACTAGGCTTTAGACGCCAAGCCTCACAGGCAGCTAATAGCCCGTTAGTTGTGTTGTATTTTTCAAATTACCATATAGGTGTGATGATGTAAGAATGGAGCTTTACTCGCACATTGTGCACACTACATTTTAATGCTGCCATATATGATGAGATGAAACAAAAATAACATTAGAAGACATTCCTAAATTTTCCAATTCTAGTGCGATTTGGTACTAGAGTTTGCATGTTGCATGCCCTCCCCTTCCAACTTGTCGCTAACTTCTGGTTCTGACATTGCATTAGGGCTGTGGACAGTAAGTAATCTGAACCTGCCCAGCATGAGCTCCTAGATGCATGTGAAATTGGTGAGCTGCAGGATAGGCAACTATCTCCTGCGGTCTGGGAGGATTCAGATATTACTTTACTACTGGTCTGGTTTAAGGGAAAACATACCATTTTTCCTAAGAAAAGTGAATTAGGAAGGATTGGTCGACAATAGTAAAGTCCATAGTTGGCGTCAATGGATGTAATTTCATTGTCGCGCAAAAGATGAAGACCCCTTGACTGTAACAACCTAGTGGACTTGCGTTCAAAACAGACGAGTTCGAAAGGTCGGTAGAGACAGCTCCTATCAACGGACAACTGTGAAAAACAAAAGATGGTGGAATGCAGCTATTCATGGAATTGGACCTTACTCTTGCTTATACACCAAGTGAAGTAGTGCTAGGAATGTTTCTAGAATCTAGAATCGTATTAGTAAAGCCTTATGCTCACATTGCTTTTGAAGTGTCTTGTTCTTCCCGTTCTAACCTATCGTTTAGCCAGACATGCCGATATATTGTTCTGGGCCTATTTTGTCATTGATGTTGGGCCAATTGTGGTCCGAACTCCAAACGCCAAATAAATTTGATCGGAGGGAGTACATTGCGTAGCTACGATATTACATATTTCCAAAAGAAAACAAAACATGCAAAGGGAGTACGATAAGAATGTTACCGAACAAATTTAGTTTAACCCATTTCTTTCGGGCAGTTTATCTCATATTCTGAAACTTACAGTTTTCTGTTTAATTTAGAATATGGCAGATTCCGGAACAGTTTAACTAACCATGTTTTCTCTTTCGTAGTGAATATGACAGACACTCTCATGAGAACAAGTTCACTCCCTGCCGGCATCGAGGATGAATGGAGGAAGCGAAAGGAGGCTCAGAGTCTGAAGCGACTCGAAGTGAAGAGGAAGAGAATTGAGAGGAGGAACTCTCTCACTTCCAACATTTCCAAAGAGGCTGTTGGGCAGATATTAGAGGAGATGAATGCAGGAGCTGAGAAAGTAGAAAGTTGCGATGATGTTGCTACAGGCAATAAGAAGACGGGAGGAAATGTGAACCATAGCAGTGATAGAAACCGCTGCACTGGACTTCCTCCAGTCCACCGTGCCACGTATACTCAACAACGTGGCAGTCTGTCCGGAATACCAACAAAGCATATTCCAGCTATGAAAGGTAAACCGCTTACGTTTTGTCGTTTTGCATTTGTTTTGTCGTTTTGCATTATAGATACGTGAAAATATTTTCTTGTCAATCTAGCTTCAAGCATGATTGTTTGATATGATATTGCACTATTTTGTAGTTTCATGTTTTGTTCTTTATGCTTGTCACAACTTTTGCCCCTCCATTATGTTCATGTAGATCTCTCATGTCTGAGGGCTTTTAGATGCTCAATTTATTTATATTGCTCTCATTTGTGCGAGTTTCAAGTCAAATGTCTTGAATGTGAACTGGGCATGGATGGTTGGTGCCAGATACTGTTATGTTGTTAGCCGCTGTGCGCAATGTTTTTTTTCCTAAATGGCAGATCGACTAAAATAAATTATGTTGTAACAAATGCCTAATTTAGTGGCCTGGATTGCATGGCCCTGCCTCCGGTCAAAGGATGGAAACTACTTCCAGACTTGAAAGTATGGAGGGTCCACACAAAACATGTATGACAAGGATCAATAGGTTATGTTATTAGATGAAAATATCAGCAATTGGTCATCCTTCCTTACTTCCTTACTTCCTTTCATGAGGTTTGCTTATGTTTCTCATTAAGGCCTGTTTGTCTGTCCTTCCAGGATCTGCTGATGCCGAAGAGCACAACGTTCCATCGGCCGCTACTGAGCACCGAAATGGAGCAGCCATAGCAACACCGCCATTTTCGGCACTGGCGGTGAGGGCAGTAGCTCTTGCTTCCAGGGGAGAGCAGCTGCGTGCTACAGGAAGAGTTGCGGCAAGAGCCAAGAGCATGGGAGATGTGGAGAGGATCATGATGCAGGAGATGCCATGCGTGTGCACCAAGGGGCTCCCCAATGGCAAGAGGGTTGAAGGCTTCCTGTACAAGTACAGGAAAGGCGAGGAGGTGAGGATTGTCTGTGTTTGCCATGGCAGCTTCCTGACCCCTGCTGAGTTTGTGAAGCACGCCGGAGGTGGAGATGTCGCGAACCCGCTTCGGCATATCGTCGTCAACCCTATCCCGCCATCCTTATACTGAACCTCTCTGTCAGCTCACTGCTGCTCTTGCAAGTGTTACTATAGCTTCAGTCAGCCCTTCACCTTAGCTTCAGAATTCAGTTCAGAGTAGAATCTGATTGTGAGACTTGTCTTAATGTTACAAGTGTTTATTATGCTAAGGAGACAGCGGGAGATTTGCTCCTGCTGACATAAAAAGTGGTTAACATGGCTCCATTGATCATTGTTAAATGGTTCCTGCAGCTGCTTTTGTTCATGCAGGTTGTGACAAATTCATCCTAGTGCAAGTTACTCTGGCAACAAAGATCTCCTGGACTCGTAGTATGTTCAAGCTACTACTTGCAAATTTCCCAGCCAGTCAGCAGCATGACCCATGGAGATGTCAAAATCCTGATACCGAATAACCACGGAAACCACCGACAAAAACCAATGAATTTCAGACAGATCTTTAAAAAAAATTGAAAGTATGATCAACCCAAATGCTACAAAGAATGATTGTAAAACACTAGATACGGCTAGTGCAGACAAATGCTACAAAGTATGATCAACCCAAAGGAGTGCACAACAGAGACTAATCTGTAAGTGCAACTGTGCAAGCATCTGTGGAAGTCTGGCATACATGGGAACAATGTATATAGGAAATTAACATCAACCAGTTACTGATTCCAATTATCAATTTCACAATCTGTCCAGGCAACCATCACATTTGAAGATAAAACGGCTGTATAACAGCATCACATTCTGGTTGCCTCAAAAACAAGTTAAGCATGCATCTACCTATAATACAAAAGGCTAATACTAGCTAGCACCTAATTGCAGTGGAGAAACCATAATTTATAAAGCTATTACACCTCAAAAGCTTTCATGGACAGGCACTTCAAAAGCTTCACCGAAACACTGCATCTAAGCTTTCATGGACTCTTCAAGCTTCACCGATAATTTTGCATCTAGCAACCTGTCAGCTTGGCTATCTCCTCGAGCATGTACTTGGCTTCAGCTGCGTGGTCTACCGGAGCTTCACTCCTCACAGTGATCCTCTGCCTCTTCTCATTCATGTACTCATTCTGAGTTACGCTGACGCGGAACAGGTGAGGAACCCAAGTAGCTTCCTTCAGCTTGAGAAGGTAACTGTCATCACCCTCCTGAAACAATTGAGACCAACAATCTTAGGCACAGCTTAAATAGCAATCTTAGGCATGTAGAAAACTAAAGCCTAGAATCTGCACAAAGTTGAACTGAAGCCTAGAATTCGCACAAGCTTGAACTACAGCCTGGAATTCGCACAAAGTTAAACTAAAGCCTAGAATTTACACGAAGGTGAATCAAAGTTACTGTGGGATTGGCAAAATTACCTCCTTCCTAATCCGATCAAGCTCATCTGCACTGCAGCCAACAATCCTCTCTGCCTGATCATTGAACAGAGAAAGCCAGGCCTCACCAGTAGGGTCGGAGACCTTGATGACCATGATGTACCTGAAGAAAGGAACCAGTGTAGCATTAGCTTTGGCTTTGTATCATCTCAAATTCAAGCATGCACGGTGTAATTCAGCCCAAAGTTTTACCTCAGTGAGCACTCAGCATCATTCTTCTGGCACCCTTCACACCAGTATCCTGATCCAATTGCCTCAGTCACCTTCTTGTTGCAGGTCTTGCAAGCTCGGTACCACATGGTTTGGTCAGGCTTGATAAGGCTAATATAGGCATTCAGACTGAAGAACACAGGCTGCAAAACATAACAAGTAAATTTAGGACAATCACAACTAGAAAGTGCTAATAAACTAAACATCAAGAACAATTCCATTTTCTTTCAAAGATTCCAAGATTTTACCTTATCCTGACCCAAGTTGGGGTCACTTGTGATGTGAGACAGAAAAACTCTATCACTGTACATGGATCTCGCGCCACCAACCCTTGATGCGCCCATATCTGAACCAATTGATGCCATTGAAGTACCCTTGCCTTCAGAGTCATACCTGTTTGCCAAAATAACGTCAAGGACCAAAGTAGATAGTTTGAAAGATAATAAAAGGAGTGTTTGAGATTAGGACAATACCAAGCTCTGAGCTGTTCTGCCTCAGGCAAGTCAGGATTCACTACAATTGTACTTCTCCCCACAGTTGACAGAGACAAACCTGTCGACATTATAGTAGTAATGCTGTTAGCACATAATCGCCAATTCAGATCCTACCACATGCAGGAAGGTAACACAAACATACCTTGGAAGTCAGATACTTTTAGGCTCTTTATCGCAATGATAGGCGCAGAGTCTACCATGTCCAAGAGCTCCTGACCAGTAGTTGTGGCAAGATCATTCCAAAGAGATATGGTTACAGTTTTGCTCCTGCCATCAGATTAAATGTAAGTTATCAGCACATAAAACATAAAGAGCATTCACATCATCAAAAGAAAGGAGTTAACAAGCCAAATGATGCTTACGAGTCATCCGCTACAACGATGTCACGCTTTGGAATCGTCTCGTTGTCAATCTTCCTCCTAACACTAAGAGTAGGAGATACGCTCTGAACAACCCCAATAACATCTGCAAGTAGGGTAAAACTAGTCAGAACACTACATTCACAAAGTAGGAACAAGAACACATCACTGAACTGAAAGCACTATTGCCTTACCTACTAGCTCCCTGCCACCAACATATGGCCCTAGCTGATCAATCTTGACAAAGTTGTACTGAATCTGTGGGATAAAAGTTTCGCCCTCAGCTTCCTCAACAACAGCATTCTCATTCAGGGTCATCTCGTAGTCATTATGGACAGTCTTGAACTGCTTGTTGGCGACTCTGAGAGATCCTTTGGAGATGTAGTACACCTTCCCCAGCTCAAACATCGGATAGAACTTCTTGGCAGCCTCGTTGAACATGGTTGCCTGGATCTGGGTGCCCTGTACACAGATCCAACAAAATTAACTCATCAATCAACATACAAGAATTCAGAATTGCTCATGAACTGCAATTACATCCTACGGAATAAACATTTCACGGTAGGTTGCACTTACATCCACATCAGTGAGCTCCACATTGAAGACGCAGCCTTCACCACGAGCATTCTTGTACGTCCTCAGGTTGCCCTTGCTTGTGACACGCACCTTGATGATCCAGTTGCCCTGGTAGGGGTTCAGGGAGATCAAAGGATGAACTCTTCTCGTCATGGCCAACCGCGCCGCAGGAGCAGCACTGCAAACAGGAAGGCATCAAGAATCGGCAGGTTAGTCTCACCAACAATTCTGCATCAGAAACAACTGAACAAGAGAGATGGGGATCTCGCAAGAATCGCTTACTTGCCGCGCTGCTCGTTCACGATCTGGGACGCGGACTTCACCTCCTGCTTGGGCTTCAGCACAACCGGAGGAAGTGGCGGCGCGTTCGTGGGCTTGGAGAGAACCACGGATTCCTCCTTGGGACTCAACAGAATCGCCGGCTTCTCCTCTTGCTTTTCGGCCTCGCACTTGATCTCGGAATCCAGCGCCTTGAACACGACCTCGAGCTTCGTGATAATCAAGACCCTGTGACGCATATGAACAAAACCAGAGATTCAGATTTCAGAAGACAAAGAAACGCGAGTGGTCTGAAGAATCAGACAGGTGGAGCGCGCGGATCTGTACTTTTCCTGCTTTTCGCCGATGGTGTTGCAGGTGTAGTCGAGGACGCGGATGACGCCGAGATTCTGGATGTTGCCGGAGCGCACCTCCGGAGCGAGCTGGGTGAGAAGCATCGTCTTTATCTTGTCCTTGCCATCGCTCGCCAAGAAACTGCAACGCAACAGAGAGATCGTGAGGAACTCGTCGCTGAGGAAGAACAAGAACCCACCCAGATCTGGGCGAGTTTTTCCGTGGCGCGGAATCGCAAGAACGCTCATCAAAGAGGAATCGCACACAAGAAACACTCACGTGAAGCGGGTGCCGATGGGCTTGAGGTCGACGACCTGGAGGACGATCTCCGGCACCGGCACGCCGGTGGCCGCGTCCGGCGACGCGTTCTCCAGGACGAACGCCACCGCCCCCGGCGTCACTGACGGTGCCGCGTCGGAATCCATCCCCGAGCCGAGTTGAAGGCTTCACGCGGGAAGATTCAGCTGCGGCGGCGGCGGCGATGGGGAGGAAATGGTTTGGAGTTGAGGAGAATGGGAGTGGGAGAGGATTGGATCCGCGCGCCTTTATAACGCCGTGGTTTGGCGAGGCGAGGCGAGCGCGCGGGCGGGAAGGGGGAGGAGATGGCGTTTCGGTGGGATTTTTGCCGCGGGGTTTCGCGTTCTCCTCTTCTTCCCCGCGCGCGAACGGCCGCGTCTGGTTTTTCTTTTTTTGGCTCGGTTTTTGAGCTGTGGCGGGAGAAATTTTGGAGGGTTTTCGCGCCGGTGGCGGAGGCGGAGTGCGAGCCAGAGAGATGGGCCGGGCCGCTTTATCATCACGTTCGCCTGAACGAGGTAGTGGGCCGAGACTAATACGGCCCAATTAGTGAGATGGGGGAGCTGCCTCCTCGGCCAGGTTGGGTTTTGAGGCCCATAAGCGTGCTTTCCATGGGGGCCCACTATTCAGCGTGAAGGAACGACACTACGGCGGAATCCCCCCTACCGCCGGTCCGCCGCCGCTCGCCGTAGCCTGCCTCCGGCCGGCGTCGTAGTTGCGTTTCACGGCCGTTATTTCAGTCTCAGATCAAATTGGATTGATAAGCCAAGCATCCCAAATTCTCAATGTCACAATGTACAAATTGGCTTACGGCACAGCAGCAGTAAGCAACCTGAGCTTCGGCGAGATCCTCACGAGGCCAGGGTGGTGGTGGGGCAGTTGTCGACGCCGCAGGCGAGGATGTCGCGGTAGTCGCGGGAGACGGTGAAGCTGTCGTGCACGCTGCCGTCGCGGCTCCGGACGTACTCGAACAGCAGCGCCGTGTGGTTGAAGGCCGTCAGCTTGGCGAACCCGTAGTCCCGGTCCTGGACGTGGCTCCACCGCGCCCGTACGCCGGCGTAGTCCGCCAGGCTCGCCCCGCCGCCGCCCACCACCACGTGCGTCGTCGCCGTGAACGCGCCGCTGTAGTGGCTCGCCGCCTTCGCCACGCACACATTCTGAATGCACACATTTCACACACAGTAAAACACAAGCAGAAAATGAGAGCCACAGCCATAAATTCACAAGAAATACACATACTTTACACTTTAGCTGTTCTCACGTTCTATACTTCTAAAATAGTTGTCCCTGTGTGATTCAAATTTTATCTCAAAATAGTAGGATTCAATTTTATTTCAAAATAGTTATCACTTCATATTACTCCCTCCGTCCCAAATATAACAACTTTTAGCACTCAGAATTTGCTCCAAAATATAATAATTTCTTAACTATAATTCTCTTCCTAACCAATCACAACTATCCACTATCTACTTTTCCCACCTACCTCTTTCTGAACCAATCACAATATCTTTCTATTTAATTTTACCTACTTTCTTATATTCTGGGACGGAGGGAGTACCCTATCAATTACCTTCCATTCAAATATCTCGTTATTATACCCTCAACAAGGGCGGATCCAGGAACAAAAAAAATTAGGGGGGGCTCAATTATGCAGTTTCTTTAACCTCTAGCCATTTAAGGACCTTTAGTTTATCATTTATGGTGAAAAAATCGAAGGAGTGCTCCGGGAGGTATCCATGGGTATAGAGTTCCCCCTGCACCCACGTTGGATCCGCCCCTCCCTCAACTACCTAACCATACACCATTCAATTCAAATTTCTCTTTATTCTATCTCCAATCTCCAACTACTCTCTCACACCTAAACATACACCATTCAATGACGGGCACTATAATCTTCTCTTTAAATCATAATCTACACTAAACAACCTAGAATAGTAACTGTATGGGAACGGAAGAGTAACAGTGCTCATATACCTCGTAGACTGGGCAGGTTCTCTCGTAGCCATGGACATGGCCGTACATGGCGATGTCGACCTTGTACTTCTGCCAGAGCGGCTGGAGGCTCTCCCTGCCCATGGGCTCCTCGGTTGTGCCCTCCTCGACGTAGAAGCTAGCTGATGAGTAGCCGAGAACACGGTGGGCGAGGAAGATGAGCCACGGCTGTTTCTGCCGGTCGACGGAGGAGAAGCAGTGCTCGATGAACTTGTACTGCTCGGTGCCTGGCCTCCAGTCGAGCTCGGTGTTGGCTATGCAGAAACGGAACATGCCGTAGTCTATCGAGTACCTGCAAGGATGATCTCAGGGTTTAACAGGTGCAGGACTGCAGGTTATTGGGGCCATAATCTTTTGTAGTAGCTTTTTGTTCAGAATTTTGATGGACCGTACTAAGAAAGATGAGATTATGCAGAGTTGGTTGTGTTCAGTAAGAGAGATCAATGAATTTTAGCTATTAGTACAGCCTAAAAAAACATGATAGCTTGTTATTTGTTAATGTTGATCTGTGTATATAAGAAAAGCATGTTTACGCATGATCGTCTAGTGAACCAGAATGTCTCGATAAGTGGTCACATGTATGAGTGGTACGCCTTAAAATATCCAGGTTTCGTATAGTATTTCACAAAATTCAGGGGAAAAAATGTCCTACCAGAATTGCTCACGGTTCTCTGCTGGCACGTAGAACATATTCTGAGCTGGTACACCGCATTCACCACCTGAATCCAAATTCCCATAGAAGGAACCTGATCCAGGCCAATCTCTTTCATGGTTGCCGCTGCAAGCACAAAACAATATCATCAGAAACATTGTTTGAAATTTCCACCTTGTCTTTGGTTTGTTTCTGTCGTCAAGTCGGAGTACCTTCCAACCATGTAAGGCACACTGGATGCAATGGGTTCAACTTGTGCGGTAAATTGATCCCATTGTGACAGATAACCATTGGCATAGCAGATGTCCCCAATATGTATTACCATATCAATATTCTTCAAATCTTTAATTAGCTGGTAGGTCGTGTTCAGTGAACCAGGCTCGAAGTCATTGAACTCATTTGAACCATCGGCCTCAGCCTGTGCAAGGAGTTCAAATGCCAATTAAGGCCAGAGGAGAAAAGCGAATTTGTAGCAAATAATCTCTCTTGTTTTAGCATGAGTAGCAGGTACTTAAGTATCTTATTCTTTGTTAGTTTGACTCGAGATGATAGAACTCATAAAGAGTACAACCTTTTCTAACTTGCATAATTGTCATTACCAATTTACTACTACTAACTAAAGATAAAGACACACTTTGGTGGCCTTCTGCTAATTGTTCCCTATCTAATCTTTTTTATATAATTGAGAGATTTTATTTAAAGCACAAGTTGTACTACATCTCCCATATTAACTTTGAATAGCTATGGAGTTCCATATCGATTCAGTGATCAGTTACCTAATAATTTATTGCACTTTTGGGAGATAAACGTGGAAAAACAGGCACATTGTAAGTGGTATCATATTCACACCTTCCCCATATCTCCAAAAATGACTACACGCTGCAAAGAGTCTTCCCCTGGATAAGGAGGTGCTTGGAAGCTATACTCATGTCCCCAAATAATAGAGCCATCTGATAGCCGATGCCCAATTCTGTATGTATACCTGAAATACAAACTCACTTGTAAGACTTGTTGGCACTTGCATTTGTACAAATGAATAGTTACAGGACCACAGAGGGCACAGATGCAGACAAAGCAAGGTTGTGTAACACTCATTTACTTGAAATTAGGCCACAGATCCTTGAGGAAACTTGTATGTATGAAACCAGGATCGCGCCATCCAACTGTCCTAGCAGGAGGACCTGTGGTAAAATCATCATAAAGCATGACAATGTTATCATCTTATTAGGTTCGTCAAAAGTTACATGTCAATGGTTATTTGATCTACAACTGCTCTGCCATTATACCATTATTCTAAGATGTGTTTCTTTTTTAGTTGTCACTTGTCAGCACTAATGGGGGATTATTACTCTGAGCAAGTAAAAACATAATGAAAATTTACTCACCGCACATAGTGCTGCGACTGAACGTAAGGGTGCCTGCAGGAGAAAGGCTTTGGATTTGCCCTTGTAGGCCCCATTTGACAAATGGTGTAGCCTCATTGGTGCCATATCCACTTGTCCAAGTCACTGTCATCTAGAATCACTTAACATCAGTCATTATTCTGTAAACATGGTATGATCTGATTTGCAGAAGCACTTTGGTGCCCATTTGTTTCATAAGCAACGCAGACAAGCAAACACTATTTCGGAAGAAAAAAATATCACTTAAATGGAACAATCTGAGATGTCTTACATTCCTGTTTTTGTTGCTTTGACATTCGAGCTCATAAACATATTCCATTAAAAAAATAGGTTACTTGCATTGAAAAGTGCTAAAGGACCATAAACGAAATTTTATTTCTGTCCGCAATGATATTTTCCTTTGCAGATCACAGGCTAGGATGCTCAATTGAGACTCACTTCATTACTTATGGAATACTTAACAAGATGATACTTACTTCATTCCAGGATTTTCCTTGCGCTAGGCGTGGGTACACAGGGGCCTTTGGGTTCGTGAAGGTTACTCTCTTTGAGTGTGCAATGAGCTTTGGCTGTGAGGTTATATAAGACATGGCATAGGCAAGTTAGACCATATAATAGTTCAGTCACATTGTATTTTAACTAGAAAAGACAAAATATACAAGAAATACCACCATGGTAACTGAATCGTTCAACAATAAGTTTTCACACTAAATAAATGAGGAGAATTTGGCACATACATTTGAGAGGCCTCCAGAAAACAATGCAAATGAAAAATCCTCCCTCTGATTGATTAGCTGAAGCTTCATGGATCCCTTTCCTGTCTTCTCATAGTCAAGATTCTTGTAGTTTGCAAATATAAACTGCCAAAAAATTGTGCCTCCTTCAGCATATGTTATTGGCAAGTTTTCTGAAGTCTCATCTACAGTTCACATGGAATAAGGCTAACTGGATGTAACACTAACCTTTATGGGAGCTGTACATAGAAGTGGTGGTTCAACCCATTGGCTCTCTGATGGACAAGTAGAATCACTGGTAAATTGCCAAAAAGGCAAAATATAAATAAGATCTCAACTTCTTTCTTGCTGTCTTAATTAAGCATTCAATTCAGGCATCCAGCATCAGGATGATTGGATTGCAAGTACCTGAAATTAGCAGGAGAGAACACCCCAATCCAATCATCCTTCGATGGCTTGGGGTTGTTATAGGTAAGAGTCACCCATTCTCTGTCCTGTCCCTGCAACAGATAAGGTAGCCAATAATTTGAATACAGTGGGTCTATGGAAGTTCAAAAAAAAAATCATGATTGATTCTCCTATAAATCCTAATGCTGCAAAATGCAAATATATGCCTCGACCGACTAAATTAAGGCACTATTAACTGGGATCAGAACTCTCGAGCTCTGGTAAGTGGTAATGGCTGACTACATCGAACTATATAGGTCCGTACAAGAGCAAAAAACAGCAGCGAGTGCTGAATTGACGAGCTAGTAGATACAGTAGGTTGCTGAGAAAGCTGTAGTACCTCGAGGCCGAGGAGGAGCGGCGAGGCGTCGACGGAGGCACCCGGCTGGATCGCGAAGGTGGTCCGGTGGATGCCGATCCTCGACAGCGGCTGCTCCCCGCCTCTTCCTGCCGCCGCGACCGCGCCGGCGAGGCTGAGCGCCACCAGCGCGTGCAGCACCGCCGCCGCCGCCGCCGCCATCACGGCCTCTCGCTCGCTTTGCTCCCCCCAAACGCAGCAAGAGATTGGTACAGCGAGGAGGAAGATGATTAACGCAGAGCTGGCACGGAGGAAAGAGTGGCGTCTAAGCCAAAACACAAGTGGCTCGAAGAAAGAAAGAGAACGCAGGAGAAAATGGCGTTAATCTCTGCAAGATTTATCAGATTAGTGATGGGACGTGTTGGGCATGTGTAATCTAATCGACTAATCGTTGTGTTCGGAGCTGGATCCGCAGATGCTTTGGTTTAACCGTGGAATATCCTTGTGGCAATTCTGGTGGTTATGACTAGGGACTTCAGATGCAACACTTGCAGGCTGCAAGAGATTAATTAATGCACATAATTGCGAAGTCAAAATGGGATCTTATTTATGTATCAACACATGGTTTTGTTGCATTGATCTTACAAGTCAAGGTCACCAAACTAACAAAACCAGCAACATACAGCATCCAAGAGAAGCTAGCAAAAATTGGCTTAAGCATCATCAGCACTCTGAATGTCGTGCAGACAAGTGCCCTTGCCCTGCCTGATCACACTAGCTTCTACAGGATTATATGTCAAAAGAAAAATGACCATCACGTCGACATTTGAACCACCCCAAAAGAAAAGGAACTGGATATTGTACATAGCTCACACTGAGAACATTGAGCGATGAACTGTTAGCGTAATGGCATTGAGCTGATGCATCAGGTCAGGCAACATTCTCTACCTGCACTCAACTTGCATTGGAGTACAGAACAAACTAATTTTTCACACAGCCCAAAACGGTTTCTGCCCAGAAATGGAAGTTGGGTTCCCTCCAAGCACGCTATTCGTCTCATCGATGTTGTCCTCTTCATCGTCATCTCCATAATCCATAAGCTTCAGCAGAGTATCTGCAAATGAATGCCAAAGAAGTTCAGTAAAGATGGATTGGTTCTGTCACTATGTAGAAAACAACGATATTATAGTGTTCCACCATTACCAGAAACAGATGCCCCACCAGGTTTGACCACTCTAGGCTCCTTTGAAGGTAATTGTGCTGAATACAAATTTGGTGGTGAGACTGAACTCACGTCCAAGGATCTCGGAGGTGCCATTGGCTTGTTTAAATCTGAACGCCTATCCTCATTTCTTGACATCTCATTTGAAGGAAACTTAGGCGGTGGCGGAGGCATGCTCTTGGGAGGTGGGGGTGGCATGCTCTTCGGAGGTGCCATTGGCTTGTTTAAATCTGCACACCTATCCTCATTTCTTGACATCTCATTTGAAGGAAACTTAGGTGGTGGCGGAGGCATGCTCTTGGGAGGTGGGGGTAGCATGTTCCTGGGTGGTGGTGGTGGTGGCGGCAGCATGTTCTTGGATGCAGATGGATGTGCAGAAACATGCGGTTGATCTTGAAGAAGCATCCCATTTGATCCAGGCTGAACTTTAATTGGAGGTTCAATCGATGAATTGGTCATGTTACCTAAACCGTCTAAACCTGTCTTAACAAATTTGGACCTCTGTTGTGAGTTCTGGAAAAATGAAACAAAAAGACTTCTCCATCAAATTCCTTTGCATTAGAGTAAATAGTACACAATGAAATACAAATAAAGGATGAAATCAACAAAATTTGTGCATAAACAGCACAAATCCATAAATTGAAAGCATTATGACTGGTAAGCATCATACATGGATATCAGTTAACCATGCAGAGTTATAGAGATTAACTTACATCTTTCTAAAGTTCATATAACTAAAGAGCATAACGGAAACTTCATAAAAAGTGTCTACAAAGAAATAAAGCAAAAGGTACTGCATTAATACTATTGTTTCATTAGGCTAAGAAGTTTCTGCTTTTCTAGGACTACTTGTGAATGTCACTGAGTGAGAACTCTTTAACGTGCAAAACTTTAATGGTTGAACCTATTTCTCCAACTGAAAAGGAAGGAAAAAACTTGACCAAATTGTACCTAAACCTATTAAGAAACTACCAAATTTCAAATTCAAGGAATGGTAAAAATGCAGTCCTTTACGAAGTCTTCTTGTGGGCATCAACAGCTTGAACACAAAGGGTTAGTAACAAGATAGTACAAGCAGTCATCCACTTTAGAAGCAGAAGACTGTGCCTTGCTAATTCAATTTACGGGTTGAAAAACTCATGTAGTATCAAAAAATACAAGCAATAATCCAATTCAGAAGCAGAAGACTCTCGTCAGTTAAACTCCATTGGTGAAAACTCCAGCTTGTAACAAGCCCTGTGAAAAATTCACATTCTATTACCACCCTGTGAGCTTCAGACAAGGTCAGAGAAAATACCTGGAATGAAATAAAACGTCAGTAGCAGATAAATCAGTCTTGGAAAAAGAAAAAACGTGCCAATCTGGTAAACATTGAAGGACCACTATGAAAAGAAAATTTCACATCACATTTTGAATCGTAGATTTTCTAGTATAAATGAAGTTATGATTTCTCAACAGTAGTAAATAATTAAACATTCAATTTGTTCATGTGGTTGCATATGCAATATATAACATGAACTAAAAAAACATTTGCTTATTCTGCAGCACAAGTTCCTTCTTTGAAGACATTACCATATTAAAAGCACTATTACGACAATGACACTGAAATCACATCTTCAAATAGGATGATGCAAGGACTTACGTAGCGATGCCATCAGAACATCAACTGTATATAGAATCGAAATCAATTTCACAGGGTTCTATGGTATCAAATGCTTTGAAAACCATGTACATATGATATTAGATCAGTGGACTAAAGATGGTGCGTGGCAGTCCGTAGGAGATGGAACACTAAGAATGGTGTGGAGAGAGAGACAGGAGGGGCATCTACGCCAACATTGTAGAGAAGAGAGGGGTTCGACATGAATCAGGGGAAATGAATTCATGGGTGGATGGTTTTTTTAGTGGTGGAAACATAAAGATGTCCGAGATAGGCAAATGAAGTAACACTGCTGCTCATTTCAATCGAATATTAATTTTGGGCAATAGCAGTGGTGCCTATTCAAGTAAATGCTACCTGAACTTCTGTGGTTGCGCCCTGTGAAACTGGTAATTCCTGGAATTTCCTCCTTTGTGAGCGTTTATCTGCTTCTGCGTGTGAACAAGGGTTCACCATTGCCACAGTGCTTGTTGATGTAGACGTCGCTGAAACAACCTGGGTTGATGATGATGAAGCATGCTTGAGTGTTAATGCAACCTGCTGCAATGGAGTTGCCTGGGGATAAATGCCCCCATAGCCACCATAAAATGTCCCACCATTTGCTGGTTGACTAGGACATATCAGGTTACTAGGTGGTGAAACCACAGAATAAGACGGGGCCCCAGATTGAGATGTCACTGAAGGAGCAACTAAGGAAGCATTAGCTCCAGTAGATGCAAAGGAATGTGATGCTCCGGTTAACACATTAGGGCCTAAAGTAGGGTGTACATCTGGTATTGTTCCTGACGTTTGTACACCATCCAATAATTGCTGCGGAGGTGGAACAGCACCATATACTTTTGAAGAAGAAATTCTGCCATACAAAAGAAAATGAAAATATACTTAGAACTTTGTGGTACGATACAATCTCTAAGAACAGAATCAATCCATGTTTTACTGATCAGGCGAGTGCAAATGGGTTAGAAATGTCTGGATATAAGACCCTCTCACCCTAATATTCAGCAAGATAGATAATGCATTTACTAGTACTAATATTCAGCAAGATAAATAAAGCATTTACTGGTACAACTATAATGATACCAACAAAAAAGGAATAGTTCGAGGCAAATACGAAAAGAGAAGATGAATTAGTGACTAATCATAGCATAACTGAAGCATGGTATTTGTATAACTAAAATCCAACTGATCATGTAAAATTTCAATTTATATTTTTTTATAAGGGCAGTTATAATGAACGATACTAAAGCAAAAGAATCCATAATTTCACAAAACAAAAATTCCAAACTTACAGACCTGGAAGCACCAAATTCAGCTGCTATAGTATCTAGAAGGTTTTCTGCTAAAACTTTTGCAGCTTCTAGGTTCTTCACATGCATACTTGAGATGTAGAGGTGTAGAGGTTGTTGTGATGCTGTAGTATAGCAATAGACATTACACAAAGGAACAGAAGTAATATGCTTCCCAACTCACGAGTTTCCAAGAGCTACCAAAATAAACTACAGACCTTCAGCATGACAATTGACCGGAGTCCCTGAACCTTTTCCTCTGAGTACAACAGTGACCCCTGTTTCATTCATGATGTGATTTATGTACTGATCCTGCATAAAGAAATCAGAAGCACCAGCAGCACAAAAACAGTTTCTCCCATCCCAATTGGGATGCCAGAGAAAGCTTCAAGATTAGTTTTCTTTTCTTTTCCACGGGTAAACAGAACTGGACTGAATTCATAAAACAATACTGACAGTAATAGCAACAATGGCATGGTTGAATTATCCAATAACGCTTAATATTTTACAAAATACGAGAACATACATTTGGACCACGAACCCAAGCTGCAACGTTAAGTGATGGATCTGCATGAAAACCCAAAAATATTGAGGCACTAAAAGGATGAACGGCCTGTAACATCAAAAGGAAGATGTTAGCCTTCTCAACAAGAATTGCCATATGTTAAGTAGTAATTATTTATCTGCTCCCCTTGAAAAAAAAACTACACTGTAACTGGTTCCATATTAATCAGGAAACAATAATACAAGCACCAACCATATATGTGGATTATTATTTTCCTTCTCAAGATTGCATCAACATAATTATGAATGAACTAACCAGACCATGTATTAACACATTTAATGAATAACAGAGATGGATTATGACATGTGTACTTATAATATTTGGTTTGGTGCCTATTAATCCATTAGATATCATATATTAAACAGACTGAGATATGAAGGGAAGACCTGTCCGTTGCTCTGGATAGTGCCTTCTGGGTTTGGGCCTTGTTTTAAAATTTCCTCAATCATTGAAGCCGCACGATCAACTGCTTTGATACGCTCAGCAGTATCTTTTAGCTAAAGTTGGGGGAAAATATTAGCATACCATTATCTTGCTATAAAAAGGATCTTTTGTACTACAGGTATTGTACTATACTAAAAGCAATCACTGAAACATGCTGCAACATAAATGGCATGGACCATGTAGTTTTTTGTTGAAATTACAACAGCAATAATGATGGATGATATCACTGTGAAAGAATAGCAGAACACCATTGCACAACTAGAGAGTGTTGTGCCAAACAGACAGGCATACTGAATTATTGGCTGTATCAAACATCAGCATAGGTTCAGAAAACTAGCATCTGATTTTCTAAAGAAAAACACTGTTGCAATCACTGTTCTATAACATTTATAACATCAAAGGTGCATACTCCATTACTATATAAGCTTCCTAGTTGAACAGAAATCAGAAACCTAGGACCAATTCAGTCCTAACTCCCAACACTTGATGTTAGTTGGAGGCTTGGAGCTAAAGAAGTAATAGCCAATCTGGTAGTAACAGATACAAAATTTAGTTATCAAATCATGGTACTTGTCACTGTTACTTATAAAATACGAACATATAAATTGACACCACCATCATAGAGAAAACAATTCAATGAAGACTTGCAGAGATAGTTAATGAATGTGGATAGCCCATCGAAACATCCATTTACATGAGTTTATGTGATTATGTAATAGTTGCAATGCAAGAAATTCAGATAAAATTAGTAATTCAGATTTCAAATAATTAACAGCTCCCAGGTACGACAGGAAATAACATGGAGGCTCAATTTGATGATATGAACAAGATTTACCTGAGACCCAGCAGATATATGCAAGTAGAGTGGCTTCTCACCATCAGTTTGTCCATTTGGTGGATGGTATCTTCCCCTGGTTAGGTCAAAGCAAGTAAATATCAAAAGGGACCATCGCAGTCACAAGTCACATCTACGTTTTGCCTGGCTTACCTAGTAATGATGACAGTGCTTGTACATCTCTGAATCTGTTAAGTATCCAGCAAATCATTATTACTGCTATCACAAAGTGATCTACGCAAAAATGGTGTTTAACCCTGTACAGGAAGCACATAACAATTGTCTCGTTAAGGAATTTTACCTCCTCCTGAGTTTGCCGTTTCGTAAGCTTATATCGCACAGACGGATCGGCGTCATTTATAACAATTTCTCTTGCTATTAGCTCATCAGGCATTTTTGCCTGAAGAAACAAGATGTACACAGACAAAATTTTAGAACCGTGTGCTGAATTGCCTAATCAACACATATTGATATACTTACGAAAAATACATCATTGTCACACCTGACTCAATTTCTGGACCGCTGCCGCGGCGGTCTGGAGCACCGAAGGCGCCAGATGCACCGGCAAAGTATAGGGCACAGCGACTATATTCCCCAACGGACCGGCGGCTCCCGGGATCGACACGCCGGAGAGGGCACCGATGTTCACCACGGGCAACCCCGCCACAGCAGCAGCAGCCGCCGCCGCGGCGACGACATCCTCCGCGGGCTGATCCCACTTCCTTTTCTTCCTACATCACAAGCCCACGCAAAATCAGATGCGCCTGTCCGTTGCGTGGCGAGAAATTTCGCGGCGAATGGCGGGAGATCTGCGAGAGCTCCGGCGACAGGGGAGGGAGCGAGCGAGGAAGGGATAGGGAGGGAGGTCGCACCTCTGCTTGGCCGCGGCGGCGGCGGGCTCGTCGGGGACCTTGGGGGCGCGGTCCTCCGTCATGGGTGCTCGCCGGCGGGAGGCTCAGGAATCGATATGAACCGACGGGCGAGGCGGCGGCGGCGGCGAGTACGGATGGGATGCGGCGGCTGAGAGCCTGAAACGTGCGGTTGCTGAGGAGGGTTTGGCTGGAGCCGAGATCGTACGGTGGACGCAACGTTTTCCGGCTCGGAGTCGTGGCAGCTTTGGTCGGCCACTCCACTTTGGCGATATAAATTTTTTTAGATTTTAGCTCGCTATGATTGATTACGTCACAGCTAATGAGCTTAAAAAAATGAAAAGGTGATAACATAATTTATACGTAAAACTGTATTATTATAGTTGTTTAAAGTTGATATTGTAAAATAAAGTGATAAACGACCACGTAATTTGATATTAAATTTTAAATTATTATATTTCAAAAAAAATAATGGTTACGTTGATAAGCTAGCTAACAAGTAAAATGTGCTAATTTTTGCCATCTCCACCATTAGATGTAATTCAAATTCCAAATAAGTTACCATTTTTTAAAATGTGGTTAATTATGGATAATTCACCAATCCATATGCCACAATTCTACTTTCCATAGATTATTGATTTGTTGTGATCTTAGATATAGGCTATACCGGCTAGTGAATGTTTTAATTCTCTCTTTTTGTGATAAACGTTTTTGTTTGTTCTGAGTGTGACAATATCACAATGGACACAACTACACCGAGAGTGCTAGCTGGATAGTGCTAAAAAGAGACACCATTCTTTCCAAAAAAAAACTACTAGTACACTCAATATCTATGTATTTTTTTCTTCTTATAGAAGTTTCTCTTAAGTTACTCATCCGATTTAAATTCCGATTACACTGTTATTGTAACAATTAAAACTTTACAACAAGATCTCACATGATTATATTTTGATGAAAAATCACAAATTACTTTTATGATATGTCTAAATTACTTCTAGATTTCACTAAGTTACTTCTTAGACATATAAAAGTAAATTAAGTAAAGCTTAAAAGTAATTTAAATATATTATAGAAGTAACTTATAACAAAAAGAAAGTAACTTTAATTTAGAACTATATCTAGATTCATTAACATCTATATAAATGTGGGCAATACTAAAATGACTTACATTATGAAACGGGGTGATTAACTCTCTATAGTAGAAATAACTATATTGTGAGTGAGCTGAAATAAGAAACTATATAGAGTAAATTCGCAAGTAAAGTGTAGAGAAGATTTATAAAGTCCACAAAATATAGAATTAACTAAAAACAGTAATAAAAATAATCAACTTAGAGCATTATGAATGTATATAAGTAATTTAGTCAAATCTAAAAGTAACTTATATATATATATATATATATATATATATATTATAAAAGTAACTTAGTATATAATAAAAGTAATTTACAAATATAAATATTTTTTCATCGTAATATAATCATGTAAGATCTTGTTGTGAATATTTAATTGTAACGAACACAATGATGTAATTGGATTGTAAATCGGATAAGTAATTTGAAATAAAACTTTATAAGAAGGAAGAAAAAGACACACATGTCTAAGAGGAAAAACAGCACGCACATCAGCACGTGTAGCAGTAATTCTTCTCACAATTAATTCGTCGTTGGTTAACACTAAACCGAGATTTTACCTATCACAATATACGTGATGTTGGTGTAGCCTCAGCCATATTGACTCCACTTTACTGTACCGGGCATTGGGCATTGTTAAATGTCAACGACTAAAGCAATCAAAAATTCAAAAATGTGCATTGAATACTTGCCCAAGATGGTTGACAACGTCCTCCCTCTTCATAGATCAACATGAGAAAGAAAAAGGGCATGTGTTGATTCAAAGCAGAGCTCATTGGTCCAACTCAGTAATTTATTTGAGTATTACATGATATCATTAGAACACGAGACCAAACCATTTAGCCACCGCCATCTATCAGGCTACCACATGATAGGTGATGTGATACAATTGTTGGTTTCGGTGTTTTGGTACAAGCACAAACAACATTCCCAACAAATATTGCGTCTATCCGTAGTGTAACTTCTAACATGGCAATATTTTCCGTCACCTTAGTGAAGATGGTAGTGCCTCTCATCCATACAACACGGCTTCCTCATGCAATACGATCACTAGGCCTTCTCTCGTTGAGGTCAAGCAGCCAAAGCCGTCATGTGGCATAATAAGGTAGGAAATCAATTGGAGACTTCGAGCGAGATATATTGGGGAGACTGGGAGAGTGAGTTTGGGTTTGTCTTAGGTAAAGAGTTAGTTATTGTGGTTTCGATCCGATCCCTGCTATTTTATCTTTGCTCCTTTTATCTCCGTATTTTGTTTTAATGCTGCTATAAAATATTTTGTATAGTACATTAATACATGTTGTCAGATTATGACTACCTCAAATTCTCATACGAAATGAATTAGGAAACCGCAAGCAAGCCTAAGATGGGCTGGCCCGCCAGAGCGCCAGGCCCGGAAAAGCTCGGCCTTGCTGGACTCGTGGCGATGGGCCGTTGCACCGAGCGGAGGGATCTATCGACCCTCGCGCACGATCTGGGCCTCTCGATCCAGATCGAACGGCCGCCCCGTCACCGCGACCGCCGCGGCGAATCTGGCACAAGCCGCCGACGACGCAGACACGAGCCCAGCTTGGGCGAAGCCAAGCAGGCAAGCATCCATCATCCATGGCGCGCCGTTCAAAACCCTAAACCCTGAGGCGAACCTCGAGGAATCGCAGCGGCGCGTCGTGTCGGCACCCATGGCGGCGTCCCCGTCCGCTCCTCCTCCCCCCGCCGCCGCCGCTGGAGTCGGAGTCTGGAGCCCTGCTCCGCAATCGCCGTCGCCCAACCTCGCTAACTTCTTCGGTAAGTGCTTCTCGCTCGTTTCATTGCTTCATCGCACGGTGGCATCGGCTCCACTAGCCTCAGCTAAAATCCATTGTCGCGATTTGGGGGCTAGGAGAGACGGGCATGGGATGGAGAGGTCTCACAGTGGCATTAAAAATGACTTCGATCTGATCAATGATGTGAACCATCTCTTGTTCTGTTCCTTGCAGAAGAAGAGTGCTGTTTATGAACTCCTAGCAAGTTACCTGTGCATATTTGTATGTTTTGGCAGTTAGCGTAGCATTGAACTGTCATTCAGTAAATGCAATATGAATGGACACACCTCTCTTCAGATTTGAGCTTGGACATTGATTCACCCTATTCTCTTAGCCCACTCAATTAGGCCAACAAATAGTTCAGAGTTCTGATAACAGGTTATAGATTTCAATTACTCTGTGACATATCATGGTTTAATTTCATCAATTTCTTTGCACTTTCAAGTTTCAACAGCAAACTATGTGATAACTTGTATTAGGGTTTTACACTTTTACTGCATCTGGGCAATGCATTTTCCAGAAGAGAAACATGCATTAGATTATTGCTAAGATAAACCCTGTAATGCAGTATGGAGGGAATTTGTATGGGGAGCAATTGCAGGCGCATTCGGTGAAGGCATGATGCATCCAGTCGATACTCTGAAAACACGGCTTCAGAGTCAGGCTATAATCACAGGGGCTAAGGTATGAGATAGTTTACTTTACATGTGCACGGACAGTAATGTTTCTTGCTGCAATTCGTGATTTGATACATGGATACTGCATCCTTCTTTTCTTTGTGCTGAGCAGGCTCAGAAAAATATATTCCAGATGATCAGGACAGTCTGGGTCTCTGATGGTCTGAAAGGTTAGCCATTCTCTGTTGTTTGTTTACTAAACAAAGGAAAAACAACATGAAGCAACTTTGTATTAGCTCTGACCAAAACCAGTTACTTCGTATCAGCAGCAATCTTGATGAAATTCAATACTCACCCATTTTCAGGTTTTTACAGAGGAATCAGTCCAGGTGTTACTGGATCACTTGCTACAGGGGCAACATATTTTGGTGTTATTGAATCAACCAAGACATGGCTGGAGCATTCTAATCCTAATCTAAGTGGCCATTGGTCTCACTTTATTGCTGGAGGAATTGGTGGGTAGCTATTTTCTTATGTCTCTTGAATGTTTAGTATTGTAAATATTTATGACGTTACCTAAACTTTTTTATACTAGGTTTTATCAACTGTGATCAATATTTATTTTTAGAAGTATGCCCTTTTTTTCCACGCAATGTAAACATTTCTGGCTGATGGAATTTTGCCTTCTCATTGGAATTTCGCTGCTGGAAATTTGCCTTCTGATTGGAATGCATGGAACTCGAGAAAAATTCTTATGCCGCTTCATTGTGCTCATTGCAGGAGATACACTTGGGTCTTTTATCTATGTGCCATGTGAAGTCATGAAACAGCGAATGCAAGTCCAAGGCACCAAGAAATCTTGGGCCTTAACTGCCACAAAAGGAAATATTTCTCAAACTCCAGGGGCTCCGATGTATAACTACTATAATGGAATGTTCCATGCTGGTTGTTCTATCTGGAGAGATCATGGTCTGAAGGGACTTTATGCAGGGTATTGGCACTGTTTGCTTGTTGCTAGCATGCCTATCGTTATTGATAGTGCGTTTCATCTATTTATAGTGGAGGGGAAGCTTTTGTTTTAATGAATTATTATTTTCTAGACACTCTAAAATCACATCCATTGAAATATGCTAGAAAACTATTTCTGCTCGAATACTGATTATTGAATTATGCTCGAATACTATTTCTCAACCTTTGAATACAATTATTGATCATTAAAAACTACATTTTATATACACATTTCTGGACGCGTAAGTGTACAGTTGTTGATTGAACAAACCTACTATCAGTACAGTTTGTATGTAAAGAGACAAACTGATACTATCCCTTGCGTGATGATAGGCTAGTTATCATTCATTTCCTTTTTCTTTAAACTGACACAATCTTTTGTCATACACAGATACTGGTCTACACTTGCCAGGGATGTACCTTTTGCTGGTCTTATGGTAAGTGAGAAATTCAGCTTGCACTTTTTTCTCATTGTTCTAGTAATTTTAATATACATTTTCATATCTCAAAGCAATAGGTTTGGGGCCCTCCTCCTTCATGCAGTAGGCATGTCTTAAGAGCTAAATACTGACCACAACATGGCAGCCTCAAGCATATGAATTTTTAAAATTTGGCCAGGTCTCATCCCAGATTGCACATGTCTTGATAAATAAATATGTTTTGCTAGAGGGCTGTCTTCACTCTTTAGTAGCTTTCGACTATTAGAGTTCGGATTTGAATTGAGCCTTTGAGCTCCTGTACCCTACCTGTTCTATCTTCTATGCATAATTATCTCTACCATGACCCTAATTCTTGTAGATATTCATTTCAGCTTACAGTCTGATTTTATTGACAGATCTACGCATGTAATGTACACTTTAAGATTCCTTAGCTGCAGACAGTAAGAGAGTTCCTTTTTATCCTTTTTTGATGAGCATGATCTTTTGCATTTTCAGGTCACTTTCTATGAGGCAATGAAAGAACTGACTGAGTATGGGAAGAGGAAGTATTTGCCAGAGAGTAATTTGCATGCTAGCAGCTCCTTCGAAGGGCTTCTTCTAGGAGGCTTGGCAGGCGGTAGGTCTGGTCCAATTTTGTTAATACACCAAATGTTGCCTATAGTATTACTTGATTATCCGAAAATGCTTAGGTCTCTTGATATTTACTTATTTTCCAATGTTTTTCTATGTCAGGTTTTAGTGCATACTTGACAACCCCCTTGGATGTGATCAAGACAAGGCTGCAAGTACAGGGATCAACAACTAGGTAACTGGAAAATCTCACCTATCTCTCCTTTTCTGCTAGGCCAATATGACAGTCATGAAATGAACTTTTATGATAACTGCGATATCCAATTTATACTCTCCCAAATCGTCACACGCGTCATTTTGCTGTTTGACAAGGTACTGATTATTCTTTTGTTTGTTAATCAGTTACAATGGGTGGCTGGATGCTATTACGAAGACATGGGCTAATGAGGGAATGAGTGGCTTGTTCAAGGGGAGCATTCCTAGAATAATATGGTACATACCTGCATCTGCATTCACGTTCATGGCAGTGGAGTTCCTCAGGGATCATTTCAACGAAAAGATCGATACAGATGCCCGTGAACTAACCGGCCTGTCAATGGACACAAGATCAGAAGTTGAGGAAGCTGCATGAAGCCCTGAAGGCCTGAAGTAGTTCCCTGTTTTGTAGGACTGATCCAGAGGAATTTCTGATTTCTCCGTCAAGTAAAGTTCATTTCACGAATATAAGTGTGAAAAATGCAATGTCAGCCAAGTTTCAACGTTTACAAGCGTAGAAGAGATAAGGAAACTGATCATCCTTCATCTACTCAGTATTTTTTTGGGGGTGTTGGAAACCAGGATTGTTGGTGGGCAGTAGTTCTTCTGGGTCTTCAAAGCCCATGTTTGGACCTAACTGATGCACCCCAAATTCCATACCATATGTACCTTCCAACATTTTGTTCTATCCAAATGCAATTACAACGTAGTTCTTTTTTTTATTATTATTTTTAATGAACGAGCCGGCACTAGAATGTATCAATTCCATTGAATAGAGCACGAGTACAACGCAGTTCTTTTGTTCATTCAAAAACAGTAATACAGTTTGCTGCAAAGCGCCGTCCATTGGGCTTCTGAATCTCTTCCGAATTTGTAATGGAGAAATTTTTGCAGTAATTTCACGAAATTGGAGCCGATTCCTGGCAGAATATAGAAGAAGCTTTTTATCATCGAGCGTCTACCCAGTGGGTCCCTCCCGATGCACACTAGTCCGATTGTCATTAGCACACGTGAGTCTGACAAAAAGAAGCAGAAACTCCACCAGTCTCCTCGTCTTGAGCTGAGCAGAAGCCCGCGACGTGCCCTGCACTGCACGCGGAAGCAGAGCTCCGAGCCGTGGCGGCGGCGGGCGCGGGGCGGCGTCCGATCCAGATCCGCGCCGCCGGCGTGGGCGGCCGGCTTACGAGGTGGTGGGCGACTGGTTGGCATCATGGACTCCTCCCGCTTCCGGAGTGCGGCGGCCACGGAGGCGGCGGAGGAGGAGGCGGCGGGGTGGGTGACGGTCGAGGAGTGGGCGGGCTCCTCCGCCGCCGCGCTCTCCCGCACCGCCGTCCTCACCGCCTCCCCCTCCTCCTCCCTCGCCTCCCGCAGGTGAACCCCCGTTCCTCCTCCCTCGGATCCGCTTTGCCCCCGCTCACCCATCTCACCCCGCGACGCGGCGGCGGCGCGCGCAGGTTCGGAAGCCGGTGGGGGCGGGTCGGCGGCCGGCTGCTCGGCGCCTTCGTGCCCGAGGTGAGTGAGTCGCCGTGGTTGTGCGCATCGCCTCGCACGCGGAATCGTTGCTCTCGTTTCTCGCCCCTGCTATAACACTCGCACAGATGCAATGCAATGCAAACACCCTCGAGGAATTGATCATGTTCAACTACTACTACTACTACTACTACTACTACTACTACTACTACTACTACTACTACTACTACTACTACTACTACTACTACTACCAACACGCGACTTGATTGATTGCTTTGTCCTCTTCGTGTCAATGGCGACCATGGGCAAAGCATGTGATTAAGGCCGGTGTCTGATGGAATTTACTGCCGTGGAGTCTTCTCCATTTTCACACTTTGAAAATTGTTGGTAACTCACGAGCGAGAGCTGCCTCTCTGTCTGCAGGGCTTTCCTGGGAGCGTCACTCCGGATTACGTCCCGTTCCAGATGTGGGATACCTTGCAGGTGAATTTTTTTTCTTGTGGCAATGAACTGTGTGTCACAATGTCTATTACCTTCGTTTTTAATAACTGCTTTGGGCTAAGTTCTTAGCCAAGTTGGTATTATGCTTTGCTTATTTGCAGGGTCTCTCGACTTACATCCGTGCAATGCTGTCTACTCAAGTAAGCTTGACGCTGCCCAATCTTCGCTCATCTTGCACTCATGTCCTGTCATATTTTGCACTGTTCTAGATGGAATGCCATATTAATTTTTGAATGGACTCCAGGCTCTTTTAGGCGCTATTGGAGTAGGTGAGAAATCTGCCACGGTTATAGGTGCCACTTTTCAGGTAAATTTCGATTTCATGTCATGGTTTAGCCTTCTGCAGTTTTTCTTAGGAGCTAGGCATAACGTAAATGGTTTCTGATGAGCATATGTTAACTTCTTTTTGTGTCTTAAATTTGTGCATATATGAAATAGATTGCTTAGGTTGTTGTTTTCATTGCCCTGAGCTGCAGTCAGCTGGTAGTAACTTGCTCTGCAGTCTAGTATGTGTTTTCCCCCCTCAATTTTCTTCTTTTATGGGCTTAGTTTCAATTTCCTCATCATCTTTAATTACATGCTATTCTTGCAGTGGTTTCTCAGGGATTTGACAGGAATGCTCGGTGGTATACTGTTCACTTTTTATCAGGTGTCAAATTCTCTTGCTAACTCGAATAGGCAATGCCATCTTATTGCCATTGATAGTTTGTTTACTGATGAGATAACTTGCTTGGTCAGTATTTTATTTGTCTATAGGGTGTACTAATTCTTTGTGCTTTCACTTTTCCCAGGGATCTAACCTTGATAGCAATGCTAAAATGTGGCGCCTAGTTGCAGACTTTATGAATGACCTTGGTAATATAGTCTATATCAGTAATCGCTGTATTAATTCTTTGAATGCGGGCGTCTAATTTAAAGGTCCTGCAATCGTTTGGTATTTATATTCAAGACTAAGCATTCATTTTTCTTTTGAGGTATTCTGCTATAGTAGGTGAATATTAAATAGCATATGTGTCACATGCCCCTGCAAATGCATTTCACATGGAATCTGGATTTAAAAAATCCTTTGTTTAATGCGAATTCCTTGTAGTATCAAAGTATGCTAGCAGAGTTTGTTTGTTGGTTTTGCAGGGATGTTGATGGATCTCTTAAGCCCTCTGTTTCCTTCATCATTGATTGTTATAATGTGTTTAGGCAGCCTATCTCGATCCTTCAGTAAGCGGATTTACATGATGAATTTCATAACCTTTTAAATTTTCTTTTAAAATGTTTGTTCGTTAACTAATTATTTGACTATCTGTATAGCTGGTGTTGCTAGTGGAGCAACTAGAGCAGCGTTAACCCAGCATTTTGCACTTGCCAATAATGCAGCTGATATATCTGCAAAGGTAACTTTGCATTATCTTGTAACATCCTAAATGCCAATTAGATGGTAAATTTCTCTAAACTGTAGCTGCAGAAGCATACTCAACTTTTCAGGAGGGCAGTCAGGAGACACTTGCAACAATGTTAGGAATGGGACTGGGAATGCTTCTTGCCCATGTTACCAGAGGGCATGCTTTGGGTGTATGGGTTTCATTCCTTTCTCTAACGATATTCCATATGTATGGTGAGTGCATCATTCCAATATTTATTTATTTATTTTTTGTAAGAAGGCCTTTATAATTGAAGAATATTATTCAATTATGAGGTCAGAGGAATATGAACAAAAGGTGTGTAGATAAGTTTTTCCATCAGGACACTGCCACAAAAACACAAATGAATTGTGAAACAAATATGGTACACATGAATAACATGAAGAAAGCAGTTATAACAAGAATGCTGCATACATGGATTTCCTATCGAAATTTTCTATGGATTCTGGCAGTTTAAGGTATCCAGAGATTCAGACGTGGCACTAATCTGGATTTAGCTAAACTAGATAATTTTTATCTGGATCCCGAGTCCTAACCTCCTTTCTGGTCCATACCAACTTTTCACTAAATAAGTTTTGTTCTTTTCCTACTTTGTTCTTAGGAATAGGTTAGTTTGAAACCTCATTTTTCTACTTTGTACTAGATAATTTGAAGCACCACCGAGTATTTGCAGGAACTCTTCTATTTACATCTTGTTTTATTTGGGACTATTCAGCAAATTACAAGGCAGTGCAGTCACTTTCACTCACAACACTAAATTATGAGAGAAGTTCCATCCTGCTGCAGTACTTCATGGACAATGGTGAAGGTGAGTACACTATTTTCCTTTTCATGGTATCATGAAATTCATGCTCTTGCGATCACTATTGCATGCGAAAAAAGCTAATGAGCCCTGGAAAGTGTTAGTAGCTTGAAGAGGATGTAAATATATTTTACTGTAATAGTGTTTGTATATCATCAGCGGCTTAATGCTATGTGCTTTGTGCCCATTATTTTCTTCTATATCAATAAAAGCCCAAGCTTGGTCAGCTTGTGGTTAGCAGGCCATTACTAGATGCACCTAACATATTGTAACAAATTTCAAGTATAATGTGTACTGCACTCTGAAAACGTCCTGCTTCTCTATTTTATCATGAATTCATGTGTTGATGTTGAACTATTCACGGCATATGAAATCATTTCCTTAACAATAGCTTTTGCTGCTTCATCTGTGTGAATAAAAATTCCATGGCAAGCCATTACATTATTTAATCATCAAAATTTCTTGGGTGGAATTTTCCTAGTCCTCACACCACAACAGGTTTCCAAGCAAGAGCATATTCTTCCATATTGGTCAAGCTGGCGGAAATTTCTTAGAATTAAACTGCCACATGAGCATGTACATTTAGGTGCTAAAGCCTCAAGGCTTACACACCCTGATTTGTAAGTACTAAGTTTTGAGTTATGCTTTTATGTGTTTATCACTCTATGGGGGAAGAAACATTTACTCTGTTTGTCAAATTTGATAGGCTGCAGATTGCAAAAACAAGGCCCTACTATAGAAATGGTATAACTCGTCTCTTGGTTAATGTAACACTAAACTAACTGTTGCTGACTTTTCTTTTACTTCACAAATCTATTCAGAGAACTATTTCTTGCTGGATAAGGAAGGCAGTGTTCACATTTTCATCCACAAGCAGGCAGCGGCAACAGATATTTTGATGTCCTTCATACATGGACTCGTGTTAGCACATTTGATGCAGAAGAGCAAATCTGGGCATGCGGAGGCTCGCCAATGGATTGATGAGAAATATAACACTTTTATCTCAAAGGTAAAGCCCTATACCATAGAATATAGATGTTCATGTTGCGTTTGACTTGCTACGACATTAACTGATGTTAGTTTATCCTTTAACTGATGTTAGTTTATCCTCTCAGCGTTTCTTAATTTGTATTCACATACAATTGGTGGTAATTCATGCAAGGCCAAAATCTTTAAAGAACCATCTCTCTGAGCTCTGAGCTTATATTCGTAGAATGAACACACAGTTGTAAATGCCTTCTTCTATATCATTAATGGTAGGGTTGTGGAGATGTACTATACTCCCTGACTGTCTGTTACAGCTAATGAAAAATGAGGATTCCACGCATTTGCCTGTTGTATATGACACCAAACTGCGGTGGGAGAAGTCAGATCCATAAAGTTAAGGAATGCTCTATTTTGGGTATGTCAAAAACCAAAAGCTGAGTCATCGTAACACTGGTTTTCGCCTTAGCATGGCTACCCCAAAATGGCGTATATCCCCATCGCAGATAGCAGTATAGCACCATCTTATGCACGTGTGCTGGAGTACATTCAGGTCTCTTAGTAGCCTGGTCCTTGTACTTTGTCAAAGGGTGGATTTAGGTCTGGTAACATTTTATGATATAAATGTGAATTTCAACGTTTTTGCAGTTGTCTTCTACTGATGATGATTAATTTTCTCCCCTTTGCGCAGTTGCAAGTTGAAGGTTACTCAACAGAGCGACTTCTTTCACACTCGATCGTGTGGAGGGCACATTGGGTTCATGGTCCCTCTGAAGAGAAGCTCGAGTAGGAGGAAGCAGGCGAAGGTAGCAGTATCTGTTCAACGCGATATTATTAGAGCAATTCGACATACTGCATAGGATGCTTTGCATATCTCGTTTGTTTCCGTTCCGAATTGCCACTTTTCACCATGGAGTTGCACTGCATCTTGTAATCGCATGGGATATACTTTAAAAGCTATACTTGATAATAATACTATTAAATGATATAGCAAATGGTTTCGTTGATATTTGGTGGTACCAGGTTACTCGTTAGCTACACCTCGCAAGAAACCCAAAGCTGCGCACTTTTGTTAACAAGTGTTGCTTAAAACGAAAAGGTGCCGCTTCCTGTTGCTTAAAACAAATGATATGGAGCGCCACAAATCACCCCGTTGGGAACTCTTCGCTGCATACAAAACATGCACATTCATCACCTGAAATGTTGCCAACTACAGCATTTGCTTCTCGTCAGTACTGTAGGACCTGACACTTGTATATCAACTAATCCTTCCCTTGAGATTGGTTGGGAACTCAATGTTCGACGATCCATGACTCTGTTTAGAGCTATGCGCCCATTCACCCTGAGCCTTTTGAGTGTATCTGCAGGAGAAGGCTCGGGTGATTCTGGGTGATCTCTCTTTCTGTCCTGTATTTGGTTGTCTGGTGCATCATGAAACTTGCCTGCAGAAGGTCCACAAACTTCAGTTCAGTTTATATGAATACTTGTTTTTTTTTGAGTAAATTTCATAAAACTACATGTATTTTTATCAAACAATCATAAAACTACAGATTTAAGACGTATCACAAAACTACAGATTTAACACCATATTTATCACAAAACTATAGATTTAAGGTTAAGTATCACAAAACTGCATATTTAATATTTAAGTTATCACAAACAATAACTTTTAGAGTTTAAATCCCTAGCACCACTATTATGCTGGAGCTATAAACATTATTGTTTTATGACTAAATTGGTTCTAAACCTATAGTTTTGTGATAATTTAGTTACTAAAAACATGTAGTTTTATGACACTTCATCTTAAATGTGTAGTTTTACGATAAACTTGGTGTTAAATGTTTAGTTTTGTGATGCACCGAGTTAAATATGTAGTTTTGTGATAGATTGGTCATAGTATTTGTAGTTTTGTGAAATTTAGAAAAAAAAGATGAATACTTGTAGGCTTGGGTGAAGCATTTGTGTTCGCATTAGAAGCCGCCGAAGAGCTCAGAATATCAGAAAGAAGCCTGGTCTTTGGAAACAAACGCTCCTCTGAGCTTTCGTCCCGTTCTGTTACTACCTGCACTAGTACAGCTGCTAATATCAGCTAAACAATGAATATATCATTCAAATGGAATGCAAGTCAATACATCGTGCAAGGCACAAAGACAGAAGATAATTGGAAACTATAAAAATGCATTGTGAAGTAGGAACACAAATATATGGCTAAAATTCAGCCTCTGACTTCACATTTACTTAAATAGCATAAACTCGTCTTCACATTTACTGAAGATAACTTTTTTTTTACTCGCAGAATTTTTTTTAAGAAGCAAAACATGGCTATGATTGAAGCCACAAGGAGCAAACAACAAAATAATACCTAAATTTTGGCATTTCAACAAAAGATACCCTGCTTCATTGAAAGTCTGAAACAACTATTAGAAGAGATGTAAAGGATTTTTGAAGGGTTTCAATCCATGAAACCGCAAGTAAACTATCATCAGGCAAATCAAGAACCAAAAGCCTCAGAAACATTTCTCATCATGTTTTGAACAAAAATCAGGGAGTATTTTTTTCCATACTAGCAGCAGCTTACTGGAATGTGATTCCATGAGCAAAACATTGGTGTGAAATAATGCACAAGCGGAGCAGTACATATGCACACATGCACTTAAAATAATTCTGAGGTTCTGCCATTAAAGTATTGGGAACACATTGAACATAACACAACACGGCTTACTAGAACATGGGACAAATTGGCAATGGTTGGTAAAGGACAATAAAATCTCGTTTAAGGAAAAGGAAATTAAAGATAATTTAGAAAGCATGGGATTATTAAAATAATTAGGATGGGAACCATGTTGTACCTCATCCTGCTTACTTTTAATTTCATCTTCTTTTCCAGTTGATGCCTTCTCTGTGGCCATACAGATTGCAGGCAACCCAGGCTCTTGTTTCACTGCAAGCAGTTTAATAAATCCAGGAATGGCTTCTGTTTGTGCAACCCTTGGAACATTCAGAGTGAACTTAATGAGGGGTTTCTTTTCAGAAACAACAGTTTCAGATCCAGCAGTAGATACTATGGGTAGACGATGGGCTTTAGTAAATCCCGGAGGAACATCAAGAGAAAATCCTAGAGGGGTGTCCCAAGAAAGGCTGTGACTGTGAGAAGGGTTTATGTGAGACTCAGTAGTTTCTCCTGTATGAGGGAGATAATGAGCTTTCATAAAGCCAGGAGGGATATCAAGAGAAAGCCCTGGAGGTACGCCCAAATTAAGGCTTGGAGATGAGTCTATGTAAGGCTCAGTGGTTTCTCCTGTATGGAGGAGACAATGGGCTTTTGTGAGGCCTGGAGGGTCATCATGAGGAAACCCGGGAGGTGTGTCCAAAACAAGGTCAGAACCAGCAGGAACTCTAGGAGCAGATTGACAAGTAAAATCTGTAACTAGAGGAAGTATAATAAGCAAATCATGGATGAACAAAAAACAAATCAGTAGAATAACAAGATGTGCCGGCCCATACAAAAAAGCAATTGTACCTGAAGAGCTTGCCGCAGCATTTGGATCAGGAGTCAGCATTCTCATGCATTCGTTGATCCTATCTCTTTCTCTGCTAACTGCCGAATCCAATTTATTACCAATCTCCCCACATTTTTCCTTCTCTGTTTTTTTGTCTTGTGTCTCCAAAATCTTGCCAGTTTCCTTATTTTTGTGCCTCTCAATCTCTTTGCATCCTGTTGCATCAAATGACATACTTGTTTGATTATAGGATCTGTGCAGCGCCCGGAAAACACCCCAAAAGTAAAACTTATCACATTTTCCTGTTAAATTGGTAATTATACAGAAAAGGTTAGATGATAAATTTGTACATGCATACCACTTTTTAAAACATTTAACAGGGACTGTACAGCTATGCTCATGCAAACTCCATGTGATTTCATCTGGTTGCAAGAGAAACTACTGCGACGAATCAAAAACAGGTATCACAAAAAAAAATCAAATTAAAAAAATATTCATACAAATAAGATTACCAAATAGTAACTTTGAGATATGCATGCATCACAGCATCAGTTTGTTTAAGCATACAAGTGTAACAAGTCCAAGCATTGTCAGTTATGGGGGGATACATGACATGGTTTATAATGGAAATGGGACATAAAAAGGATCATGGAACATACTTTGATATTCTTGGGTAAGTAACTTGGATGAAAATATCAGCAACTCAGTAGCACCAATCTTGGTTCGTAACCCAATATGCGAAGAAATATTTTTCAGGAGATGGTCAGAACTCCCATTTGGTCTGCAAAGAAAAAGAGAGAAAACACATAAATGCAGATAAGCTTCATGCACACAGCTGCATTCTGTAGTTGACAAAAAGAGATTAAACTCCAAAAGCACTCGCATTTATTTTTCAGAGATAAATTGTTGAATTGGTTTTCAATTGCCGGTAACTGAAACGAATACTCCCTCCATCCCAAAATATAGCAAATTTTCCACTTACATTCTCCTCTCAACCAATCAAAACCTTCCACATTTAATTTCTCCACCTACCTCCTTTTCTCAACAAATCATAACATTCACCCATTTCATTCCACCTACTTCCTTAATACCCGTGTTCAACCCCAAAACTTCTTATATTTTGGGATGGAGGTAGTACTTGTTAGGATATGACAGATGATGTGGCTGAACGCACCAAAAATCATTGGTGATACTTCTGAGGTTAATTTCTATCATGCCACTAAACATCTGAGAACTTCCTCATTTTATAAATAATGAGTTGGGTCCATACCAGCAGGCCCACATGCCATTGAGACAAGTGAGAGGAACAAAAGGAAAGTAAGTAGAAGCATTGATTTGAGGGGTTGTACCTTTGAAGAGAGCTAATGAAGCACAGTCCAATATCTTGTCCTTCTGGAGGTTTCATCTTGAATGTTTTCGGCCACAGATGAGAAAGAGGTCTAGCCTCTAGCTTTAATATTTCAGGCATTTGTTTTGAAGCCTCATATACTTGGGCAGAAATTTCGAAAGGGAAATGGGCTTCAAGTCCATCACAAATATGTGTTAGCTCTCCAGTCACTTCAAATTTACCCCTAAAGAACATGGAAACAGAGCCTCAATGTTTAACTGAAAATCAAACACACGTATACTAAAATAGCAAAGTCTCACAGATTTTCCATTATAACTTAACTTCAGCATTGGATAAAAGTTCAACACTTCCAAATTGCATAATAATTCCAAAAACAGAAGCAGCATCACTTATCATACATGTGAAAATTGTTCTGAGATACTATATAGCTTACCACATTATCACTGGCACAAAAAAGCTCAAGATAATTCTGCAGATACTCTGCTAATCAACTATATTTGCTGATTAGCTTCATCCATACCAGACAAGATTCAAGGCTTATAATGCAAGTGAAAAAAAAACAATGCTCTTTTTTAGACAAGAATGCCAATTTCATCCATTAGTACATCAAATTTGAGGACAACTTTTGATAACTTTGAGTTTGTAATTGATCCCAAAACAATTTTTTATACAACACAGTAGCTACAGCTTATCCGGTCAGATAAATATAGGGCATGTAACTGGTAAAATACAGTGTGATAAAAATAAATTCTATTGATAATTCAAAAATACTCTAATGCATGAAGTAAATTACTTACTTCCAGCAGGCTTCTGGTTGGTAATGCTTCTTGTGCAGCTTTGTATGTAAAATTACTGGGATACCTGTTTGCACCAATACCAATGTTACTACAGCAGTGTTCTCAAAATAAGTTTTTCATCAATAAATCTCCACAAGGTAAAATGGCATGCCCATGGCTAAAACTTAGTACCGCTGCTTTCACTTTTTTCACCTTTTCAATTTTCAATAAGCATAATAATTGAAGGGCTAAATGCAGGGATGTCTGGATGCTACAGTACTATTAATGTCAGCTATTTTAAATATGTAGATGAAAGAATAGAAGAGATTACTGTCAGGATCCACACTGTACCTGAAGATACATTACAATTGATTGGTGCCTCCTGGTTCATTTGTTTTTCTGTAATTATATGGCTCTTAGTAGATGGAACTGCTTCAAAATCATCAGGCGGTTCAACACATCGTGCATGAGATGTAGACTGTGGACTTTGTGATGGAGGAATGATTGTTTCACTTTGCGGTGAGCCCACCTTGCATTTTGTATCAAATAAATTTGGTCTGGAAGAAGGCCTTGGAGCAGTATCAGGATATGCCTCGTTGGACTTTTCACTAAGCACAGATTTTGGGCTCGGTAATGCAGGCTCCATGGTTAGCTTTTTTTGCACTGAAGGCGCCACAGCAGTTCTTGTGCCTTGACATTGTAACGTGCCCAACTTACAGCTCATAGGGGATGACTTCTCATTGCCAGGCGCACAAAAACTTTCAGCAGAAGGTTCTGCATTTGTACCAGGAGGAACTACAGTTGAATGTGCATGCGCAGATGAGAAGGTTCTGGTGCGTGAACTGCAACTTTTGACATATGCTTCTCTATTACCCGATCTGCTAAGATTCTTGGGAGCAGTGGCATCAGTACCAAGAGGTGTCCCAGAAGGCTGTGAAAGAACAGCCCTGCAGAATGGTGATGGACGCTGTGAAAGATAAGCTATTTGTGTTGTAAAGGAATTTGTGATATAGCCCCCAACAAGTGAGTGACCATTTCCAGCTGTCTCAGGCCACATAGGAGAGATAGGTGAGGTAGCAAGTGAGTGAATCTTTTTAACTGCCCCAGGCCAGTTAGGAGAGATAGGTGAGGTAGCAAGTGAGTGAATCTTTTTAACTGCCCCAGGACAGTTAGGAGAGATACCTGAGGTAGCAAGTGAGTGACCATTTTCAGCTTTCCCGGTCAAGTTTGGAGAGATACATGAGGTAACGACTGAGTGAACATTTTTAGCTGTCCCAGGCCGGTTAGGAGAGATACGCGAGGCAGCTGGTGAGACTGGTGGTGTAGGCCTCTGATTAACCACTGTAGGTGTCACAAGAGACACTTTACGTGAACTCGGAGGGGGGGTGACACTTCGTCTGCGTTGCCTTTTCTGTAATCCATCTGAGCCAACAGTTTTACCACATAGTTTTCCATGACGTACATATGTAATTTCTTCTGCAGGAATTATCTTTACTCTTGCATCAGGTTTTGAATATGTACCACCAGAAGATTTGTGCATCCCATACTTATTTGAAGAGTTTGGCTTTGCAAATCCCTTTGCCTCAAGCATTGCATCATTCGTATGATGGATTTCATGCTTTCTGAGATGGCCCAAAACAGCAAAAAAATACTACTATTAATTATAAAACCAATAGGACTAGAATTAACACATAAATATTGCAGAATCTGTCATGTATAAAAATGTGCACGACATTTGAATACAATCCAGGTAACAGAGGATTTTATAGTCTGTCAAGAGCTTGCACAAGCCAAAAAAATGTATGCATGCCTCACATAATGCTGTAATAACAAATATCCACTTTTATGAGAAATAGGATGCCATACAAAATAAGGAAGCCAGTAGTCTAGTATATACACATGAATACTCAATGGTCAACAGATATAGATTTTTTTTTAAAAAAAAAAAAAGCTTCAGCCAATACACCTTATCTTATCGAAAGTATTATGCTCAGAATGACATCATCTCATTCTAATTTTGCAACACTGACTTGATATCAGATGTGAAATATTTTTTTTTTGTGTGTAGAAAATTTACATGTATCAAGTTATTAATTGGATTATATAAACTTATATGCAACTCAATTAAATTCAAATTTACAGCTTCTTTCTATTGCCCGATTCCTTTGGGTCATTATGATCCATATTTGTGCATGTGCAAGAAAAAATAATACTAAGGGGTCTAGTGAAAGCCTAATAAATAGGTGCAATCACATAAAACCTCACATAGCCAATAATTACCCGTTGGATGAAAGATGAATGAATGGCTACCCCGGACCAGGCGGAAGCAGTGATATTCTAATAATTAACCATCTATGAATTGAGTGGCTTATTAAGAATTTTATCCACCACATGACCCTTAAATCCCTGAAAATTTGATCCATTCATTTATCCAACATATGTTGGTTAACATGTAAAGTCTGCATGATTTCATCTAGCTATTGGTTGCACTAGATATGTCCCCTTTACCAATATTTAATTATTTATTATACGCATTGGTGGGTTAGGAATATGGGTTAAGTTTCTCAATCTATGGACATTTATGCATGTTAAACAGACAAGCTACCTTGGTATTACGAGTAGTTTGGACACTTTCAGTAAATTGTTGAAAAGTTTTTTGGCACCAAAAAGAGAACAGACCACATTACAGTTTGAAGAAAACAATTCAGCATTATCCTTGTGGACATAAATGCAAATTACAATGATAAATGGCAAGCTTCTAAAAAATTCTTTAGGTAAAATGCACATGACAAAGGTGTAAAAACAAGCCTATCTTTGTTTAATATAACTAAATAAGCACAAATGACAAACAAAGGGACCTACGCATGCTCTGGAGATTTCTTGCACTGACAACGTATTACATTTCCTGAATCAATTTTATCACCACAAGTTGCACAAGCTCTATCCTGCAGTAGTTGAACAAAACAAAACAAAACAAAGTTACACATTTAGGTGTCTCTGTATGGAAATAAAAACAATAATCTGGTAAAGGCATAATTTATTTTAATTTCATTAGGCAGAACCAGAATTTAAAGAACAATTGAACAAACGGTAAGAAAATAAGAAAAAGGAAAAAAATGGGCTAAAGGCCCAATGACACACTATAGAGTATAGATTACCCAGGAATGAACTGGTTTAAACAAACGCTCCCACCAAACACTCACACCTTGCCTTTGATCTTATGAAGTAGGGCTTGTTGGGCCTGTCTCAACATGTTGGAAGACCCCTACTACCAGATTCCCCATGTAACAAGATTACAAGAAAGGCATAATGAGGGTGGACTCTTGACTCTAGAAATCCTAATCCAAGTGTGAAAGTTGATTGGAAGGCTGTTATATATATGCATGCATATATATGCCCGTCACAAAGATTAGGCCGACAAGATGAAACTAAGGTGCTATGCAGGAAACCAACAAACACGTCCTAAGAGCATGTCCACACAAATGTAAAAAAGAATCAACCATAGAGATGTCGTGTGTACTCAATGTGGTAAACGCTATCGCACTGGTAGTTTCATACTTTCATGGCATGTTTGAAAAAGAAATGGCCCACATAAGTACCCGTATATTAGATCAAACGAGGTCAGACATTGTGAAGCACCGGGTGCTAGGTAGTATACTAGCTAGTGCAGAACAACTGAACAAGCACAAGTGCTACTGCTACTACTACCAGCTTTACAAATTAAACTGGGTGACATTGCGCAACGATTAGAACAGAGCAATCCCCGCAAAGTAAGAGAATAGATAGCCTCATAACAACAAAAAGTAAAACACACATACAAGGGTTCCGCAAAATCTATGGAACCAAACAGTAATTAGACCCAAAGCTCTGCAAAGCGGAATGCACGCCCTACCCCAAAAACCCCTCTTTTCTTTCTCACGCGACAAAATCGGACCAAAATACCCAAAAGGGGGCGAACTAGGCGATTGCTACTAACGCTTATCGAGAGCAAAGCAGCACATACGCAAAACGCACACGCAACCAACTATTCCACCCCGCAAAACATCGCCTGTAGAAAACCTTAATAAAGCAACCGCGATCGCCAGAAATGTTGGGGGTAAAAAAAAAAACTAAAAAAGCAGAGTCCGCCCGATGATCACCTTCATCCGCGCAACCCTCCGTGGCGCGTCGCGGAGGTCAGCGGCGGCGGCAGCATCCGCCGCCGCGAACGGCGGCGGCGGCCGAGCGGGCCCGGGGCTAGGGTTTCGCGCGCGCCCACCCAATGGCCGCGCCGCGTGCGCCATTGGATCCCTCGGCGATCGCCGCAGAGAGAATTGATGAAAGTGGGTTTTGTGCTTCTTGTTCGGTGCGTCTCTTTGATATGAAGAGAGAGAGGGAAAAAGGAAGGAGAAGCCGAGAAGGGCCTCCTCCTCCGGGCCCACCTCGCAGCTTCTGTTTCGGGAAATACACAGTCCACGCGACGGGGTCTTCCGACTTCCGAGCCTACTGGCGGGTGGGTCCCACCGCGTGTGGGACCGGGATGTCATTGTGTCGTTGCCCCGGCGCGTAGACGATGGGCGCGTGTGGTTGTGTGGGAGGTGAGGGGCCCCACGTTCCCAGTTCGAGCGGTGGGCCCCACATCAGGCGTGGTCTGGCCGGACCAGTTTTGGCAGGGGGGAGGAGCGCATCGGGCCGTTTATGATGGACGATCCGACGGCTGGAGATTAATCTTGGGTGGAGACGCATCAGAAGGTTACAGAAGCCCGAAGGCATCACCTCTGTTGCTCACGGATTTGACCGCTGGGCTCCACGCGAGGAGGTGCGTTTTGTCTATATCGCACGGTGAGGATTTTTCATGCGTTAGGCCCCTTTTTCTCTCAGAGAAGTTGGATGAAAATCTGGATATCCGTTGCATGTTTTTTAAACTGTTAAATACTATTGACGGAGCGTGGGGCTCCTCACCGGGAGACCGCGCAGGCCCCCCTTTGCCGGTTCGGCCGGGGACTCAGGGTGAGATTCTAAGCTCTCTGTATGTGGAAGGTTCGCGAGACCGGAAACACACAAGACTCGGGCGATGTATACAGGTTCGGGCCGCTGAGAAGCGTAATACCCTACTCCTGTGTTGTTGTGAGATCTGTGTAGGAATGAGCTACAAAGTATGAGCCAGCCTCTCCCTTGTTCTGGGTTCCCAATCTCGAAAAGTCCAGTCTCCCCTCTAAGTGGGCAAGGTCCTCCTTTTATATCTTAAGGGGATACCACATGCACCATTTCTCTCTTTTTTGTGGGGACTTACCCCACCTTTTCATAAATGGACGGAGATTTGTATAGTTGCCGTCCGAGTCACCTTCTGATGAGACGGCCCACAACTACCTCCACTTTCGCCGGGAGCAGATGCGACGTGGAATCGTGGTTGTCCGCTGACGACATGACCGGTGTCAGACCAGTCACGTCGGTCATTCTTGTCCACCACGTGTCAGCTTAGCAATCTACATGTTCGCCCTTCTTCACACAACATCTTGCCTGTAATGGTTAGGATGAAGCCTGGCATATATCTGACCATGACTATCGTGCCATCTCTGGGAGGTAACACGCTAGCTCCAGCTGGGGACGAGCGCCTAGAAGCCCTCGTCCTGACGGGATGGGGCGAGGCGTGCGTCAGATCGCCTGTCGCCACCTAACCCGCGATCTGACCGGTCTGTGACTGGTCACAGACCGGATAAATAAGTGCACTGCACTGCGTTATATGCGGCGTGACACGCTCAGCCAAATCGCAATAAATGTGGTTAGGTGAGCCCCACTGTGCTCACCTAACCCATACACTCGGAGCAAAAACCCACGAGGGGTCGGGGCGCCTCGGCCCTCGGGGCCGAGGCGGGTGCGGCCCGACCCCCTCGGGGGTGCCAGGCCACGTGTGCGATTGTGTCTGCCTCAAACCTCTAGTCATGATACTCCTGATCCCATGTCACCGACAACTATCTAGCAATATCCATATTCATATAGATGTTAATGAATCTAGGTATATATATATATATATATATATATATATATATATATATATATATATATATATATATATGTGTGTGTGTGTGTGTGTGTGTGTGTGTGTGTGTGTGTGTGTGTGTGTGTGTGTGTGTGTGTGTGTGTGTGTGTGTGTGTGTGTGTGTGTGTGTGTGTGTGTGTGTGTGTGTGTGTGTGTGTGTGTGTGTGTGTGTGTGTGTGTGTGTGTGTGTGTGTGTGTGTGTGTGTGTGTGTGTGTGTGTGTGTGTGTGTGTGTGTGTGTGTGTGTGTGTGTGTGTGTGTGTGTGTGTGTGTGTGTGTGTGTGTGTGTGTGTGTGTGTGTCTAGATTAGCTAACATATAAGAAAGGGGCAATACTAGAAAGTCTTATATAATTAAACGGATGAAGTAGTATATTTCATGTGAAAACTTTCTATATGAAAGTTGTTGTAAAATATAAGATAAATCTGTTTTTAAGTTTATAATAATTAAAACTCAACTAAACATACGTTAATACCATATCATTTTACATAAAACACTTAATCTTCATCTTTTACCACATCGTTTTGTGTTAAACACTTATTTTTCATGAAGAACACCACCTAGTATTGCATATGGATGGGCCGAGATCTTGGTTATTGATGTTTACGGACCGAGATTATTAGATTAAGGCCCATTGAAACATATCCTACGAAGTTCTTTTAACACCCTCTCCTGAAGAATACGTCCATGTTTCCGCATGTTGTCGGCGAAACCAGAAAATGGCATCCAATCCATCAATCATCAATTATGTACAAGTTCTATGATCTATCAGCAAATTCAACCATAGCATATTAACATGGCTTGAACACAGCTCATGCCGATGGAAGTGTATAATCACAAAGAACGAACACAGGCAGGAGTAATGAACAATGAAACTGTAATAAATACACCATAACTCCACAAGTGTGGAAGGTTCACTATTGCAGTGTCAGTTTCTCCATTTGCTCGGCGTCAATCATTCAAGATTTGCAAGGATTTGATGACCAACTTGAGTAAAACAGCCCAACTACAAAAGGGCACAGCCAGCAATGCATTTAACTTGAGTAAAACAAATATCAGAAACAGTAATTCTCTGTAGTCTGTACCCTGCATTTGCTCAGTCATAGCTGCTCTCGATTTCTTATGCACTATAAATATGAAACAATGTCAGATTTAGGTGCACAAGATAGCAGAAACACAAGTACCAAGCTGAGTGAAATGGCAAGTGGAGAGGAAGGAAACACAAGAGTTCTCCAATGCAGTGAACTTATATATATCACCAAAGATGTTTGATGGCATTCGGCAAGTTTCCATGATTCATCATTGAATAACCCGAGTAAACCTGCTTGTCCAGGCAACTACAACTTCTGAACACCACAGTGGTAAAAACCAGATATACTAACCACCTCACTAAATTAGTTAAACAGTGCCTTCGGTTGGGATTTGACAAGTTGAGCCCTCCAAAGCAAAGGTAAACTGGGAAGGAGATAGTGACCTGACCTCCAGAGTTCAGTTCAATAGTTTAAAAACAACTGATAGCAAGGTCCATCTGCTAGAAGAGGCCTCGCTGGCGAGCAAGCGCGATCAGGTCCATAGGAATGGCAGGAGTGCTATCCCTTGTGGGAATCATGAGAACTGCCTTGTACAGAGGATCACCATCCTTGTTCTCCACTTCAGAGGTGGTGCGATCTGGGCTTGGGGTTGGGGTCCTGATCTTGGCACCCCACCTCACCTTTCTTGTGCAAACCCTAGGCCTGCGCCGCTGCTTGACAATATCGCTCATCTCATCGTCTCGGTTGTCCTCTGAGGAGCTGCATCCAGGGGTGGTGCGCGACACGGCTGCTGGTGATGGCAATGGTGCTGGTGCTGGGGACTGGGACTGGGTGAAGGGGAGGGTGCACATGGTGATGGCGTCCTCTTGAGTTGTGGGAGGTGTGCTGAAGACCTCACCATCATCACCACCATTGAGGAATGAGGAGTGGGCAAGGAGTTCTTCCTGGGAAGCGGAGATGTCGCCACACTCCAACACCACTGAGTCCATAGCTGATTTGATAAAACCCAAATTGCAACACTATCACTATCAAATTTCCTTTAACTTCCTTTAACTCAAAACACCCTGAAATTGCCAGATAACTTCTCCCTCCCTGAAATGAATGCAGATGCAAAAAGATCAGTACTAACAAATTTTTATTTGCAATTAGGATTAACCATTTGTCAAAGAACAACTACTGATTAACACCCCAAACCGAGCACAATATCTTCATTGACCCAAATGGAATGCAGACAAAAGTAGTAAAATGGGTACTACTGCATTAATTTAACAGAGCTATTGCCCAGGGTTTAGATATGATATTCTCACTAATCACATGTATGGAATATCTTCCAGTCCTACATGAACACTGACATGAAGCTCGTACTTCATCGGTTTCATAATGTAAGTCATTCTAGCATTTTCCACATTTCATTAACATCAATATGAATGTGGAAAATGCTAGAATGACTTACATTGTGATACGGAGGGAATAGTAAGTTAACATCAAGAAATAAACATAACAGAGAAGCCAGTCAAAACTCAATTAAATTTTCTACTTTAGCACTAAACAAAGAAGCCCTGGAATTGACTATTATACCTCAACAAATAACCAAGATCACATATCCCTGGGCATGAGACAGGGGCGAATCCAACTTGGGACATGGGGGTTCAGTTGAACCCCCAAACTTTTGGGGGGAACAAACAATAAACTGTTGTTACTTGTATTAAGGTAAGGGTCTGAAATTAAGAGAAGAGCTTCTTCCAGATCTAGAAGAGAAGCTAGGGTTAACGAACGCAGGCAAATTCCAGACAAAAGTAGTCCCGGTGGGAGAGAGAGATGAGTTCTGAGAAAGAGGATATGTGGATGCTCACCTGCAGGATCCCCTCCTCTCCCCTGCTCTGCTCGCCGCCTCCCCTGTTCAGCCGCGAGATGGCGCAAGGAGCGGAGGAGCCGAGACGGGAGATTTTCTTTCAGCTTTGCTATTTTGCAGTTGCCTGAAAAATTGCAATCCGTCACCGTCAGCCGATTTGTGGGCCATTAGATTTCTGTCAAGATTCGTGCGCTATTGGGCTTGGTTGTGGATGCGCGTTTTGTAATGGGCTGCATCCCTTTGGCCCGCTAACCATTTGTTTTTTTTTTTCCCTCACCAACAGCTAGAGCCAGACCTACACCGAGCAAGCCGGTGATTTGGGTCGCTGGGCAGCCATGCGAGCGAGGCCCTGTGTAGATTCCGGCGAAAATTTTTTTACCATGTTACATCGAACGTTTAAATGTCTGCATAAAATATTAAATATAGGCTAAAAAATAACTAATTATACAGATTGTAACTAATTTATGAGATGAATATTTTAAACCTAATTGCTCCATGATTTGACAATATGGTGCTACAGTAAATATTTGCTAATGACGGATTAATTAGGCTTAATAAATTTGTCTCGTGGTTTACTGACGGATTCTGTTATTAGTATTTTTTGTTAGTGCCCAAACACTCCATGTGACACCCCATATAATATTCAATATGACATGCAAAAAACTTTACACCTTTGGATTTAAACACCCCCTGGACTAGCAGCGGTGGTGCCAGCGAACTAGCAGCGGCGGTCGAGACTTTGTTTTTCTTAGCGTCTTCTCAGGTACAAATCGATGAATCGATCTCTTTTGTTTATGTGGATCTGATAGAAGTTCAAATCGTTCCTCCTCTCCGCGCTTTGTATGCGGGACCGCACCCTCTAGTTACCAACATGTCTCTTCTCCTCTCCCATTGTCATGCACACTACTGTTATGGTTGTCGTTTAGATCGGATGTGTCGGGCCTGCAGTGACTCAAGAAGGCAGGAGCCGACCCAACGAAGAGCGGAGACGCTAGATCTGAGCTCCTTGCTGGATCCTCAATTGTCGGAGGGAAAATAGAAATAGAGAGAGAGACTTAGTGTGTGGAGTGGTTACTGAGTAATCGGACTTGTAGATGGATAGAATAGGGTGGTCCAAAATAAAATGTAAATAATGGTTAAATAGTGACATAATATGAAAACTTTTAATAATACATAGTATAAACTATATTTTTTTTTCTCTAACACCGTTAAAGATGAGACGTCCATTACCCGATAGTGTCGTCAAACTCCATTATACCATAAGCCCATGTAAGGCTTATTTGGAAATTAGCAAATTAGAAATTTCCAGTTCACATGTGCTTCGAGTTTTTTTTTTAAGGAATATAAACTATTTGCCACTCTTATAGGTGGTAATTAAGGATTTATCATTGAGCTCATGTGTCATTGATACATGAAGGCCCATATGTCGTAAAATGTGAGAGGTAAAAGTGGCAAAAAGTAAAATGCCCCCTCGTGTGTGTTTTAGGCCATGTTTTTTTCTCCCACAAAAGTTGGATGGAAATTTAGATATTCGTGAAACGTTTTTCAATCTGCTAAACGGTGTGTTTCATGTGAAAACTTTTTATATGAAATTTGCCCTAAAATATTACATAAATATATTTCAAGTCTGTAATATGTTAGTACTACCTCGTTGTTATATTTGATCTCATGAGTTTCAAAGCCTATCTAAAGGTCTGTTTCGGGAGCTTAAGATTCTGAAAAGCAGCTGGTTGGTAAACATCTTCCGAGAGAGAATATGGAAAAGTTGGGTTTCACAGCTTCTCAGAATCTGGACCAAAAGCTGAACTGTTAGAGGAAACTTCTGATTCTGAGAGAAGCTGTAGTAGCTAGAAGCTCCCCAAACATGCCCTAAGGGCCTGTTTAATTGGAAAAAAAATTTGCCCCTGCATATCATATCAGATATATGTGGACATAAATTTGAAGTATTAAACGTAGTCTAATAACAAAATAGATTACAGATTCCGCCATGAAACTGCATGACGAATTTATTAAGCCTAATTAATCCGTCATTAACAAATATCTATCGTCTCGTAATTTTCTGACAAACTGCGTAATTTTTTTTTCTCCCTTTAAATACTCCAGCGTGAAATTTTTTGTTTAGAGCTAAACATGCCCTAAGTAATAAGGGGAAAACAGCCCGCGCGCGATAGTCCGGTGTCCGGACGAGACCGATCCAAAACACCAGTAGACCACCAGTAGTAGTCCACCATCCCGCCGGCGCGACCGCCTCCGGCGCTTTCGTAGGGGGCAAGCTGCTTGCGCGCGGCAGAGGCCTCTCCTCTCCTCCCTTTTAAGGGCCTTGGCGTCGCGGCGCGATCCAAACCGCCACTATCCCCCAATCACACCGACAACCCGATCGCCGCATCGCCGCCCTCGCCGCTCCGCTCCGCCTCCCGCACCGAAACCCTCGCCGGCGGCGGCAGCCGCTACGCCGAGATGCTCGCGCCGCTCCCGCGCCTGACGAGCGCGCTCCGCGGCCACTACGACGCCGACCAGGCCTACCTCCTCCGCAAGTCCGCGCTCCAATCCCTCAAGCTCCCGAGGTTTATCCCTCTCTCTCTCTCCCCTTGCCGTCCCCAAAATCCCAATCGCCGCGGGGAGAACCTAACGATTTCGCCTCCGCAGGCCGCGCGACGAGTGGGAGCTCGCACGGAAGATCGTCCCCGACTGGGACGATGGTAAACGCCTCCAAAACCCTCGACTATCGTGTTGCTGCGTCTGCTGCGCGCGAGCGCTTCTGATTTTTTCCTTTTTTGATACAATAACTGGTTGCGATTGCCCCCTTGTGTTGCAGCGCCCAGTGATGTGCGCCAGGCGTACAAGCAGTTCCTCGGTGCCGTGGTGGAGTTGTTGAATGGGGAGGTCGTGTCTGAAGAGCTTCAGGAAGTTGCCCCTGCTGTGTACGCCTTGTTTGCTGGCGATGATACGCAGTCTAATCTCGCTGACAATGTCCTTCGCAGAAGGTAATGACACAATTGTTATGGTTCGAATTTGTATGTTCAATTGATGATTTCATGTAAATGCTTTGGATATCCCAGTACTTAAGATGTGCCTATCTCCTCAGGAATGAATTGGAGAACCTTGTGGGTTACAGTGTGCAAGACTCTGTTTTAAAGAAGCTAGCTCAGTTAGCTCAGATGCTCTGTTCTCTCCAACGGGCAAGGGGCCATGAACTTGTTCAGATAAATGCAGATGAAAGTATTACAAGTGAATTTGGAGCAAACTTTGATTTCAAACCACCTTCTCGTTTCATTGTTGATGTTTCCCTTGATGATGACCTACCCTTAGGAAGTGGTGTATTGAGCTCTAAACCTGCTGAACATGATCAATACGATGCCAGCAGCGCATCCGTAAGTCATAATTCAGTTTCTCCTGGGGGTTATGTAAATTTGAGGTGGCTAAAGGATCAGTGTGATTTGATAACTAGAAGTGGTGGCTCAGTTCTCTCAGGAGATGAACTTGCAAAGGCTTTGTGCAGAGTGCTCCTATCTAATAAAGCTGGCGATGAGGTTTGCAATGCTGTGGAGTAAACTGCTTTTAGTCTTTCCTTTTGTTGCTATAATAATCTAATAGCACCACTTCGCAGATAGCTGGTGAACTGTTGGATCTTGTTGGTGATGCTGCTTTTGAAACAGTTCAGGATCTCCTTTCGGTAAGAGCGGAAGGCCATTTTATTTTCCATGTACAGTTTATTTTGCATGTTGTTCTTCATACATGATACATGGATAAGATAACCAAAAGAAAGATTATGAGATGACCTCAATTGTTATAACTTGTATTGATATCAGCTAGATGTTAGTATTTCTGTATATGCCACTTAGTCCTGTATTCTGCAACCTATCTAGGAAGTAGGGCATATGTACCAGACTAATTCCAGGACTCACTTTACTGGTACAAATCACACAATAAGATCACTAAAACCTCCTAGTTGGCCATATATATCCAAAGTCTATGGTGTAGCCAACATTCAGAACTGTCTTGGCTCTGTTTAAGTTCAAATTTTGACTGCTTGTCTTTTTGCGGAAAATTTATAAATACTTGAGCATATATTATATTACTGAAGTGTGTAGCGCCATAAATATAATCATACAACTTTCATCCATCATAAATATAATCATTTAAAATTAATCTGTCATAAAAGTGATATGGCCGTAGTCAACAATGTCAGTTATGTGAGAAACGGAGGGAATAGTGAACACTTAGTACAACAAGAAGATTATCCATGTCCCAAATAGTAAGTCGAGTGCTAGAGGACTACCTTAAGCCTTATTGGTGCTGTTTTATTGTGGCTACCTAGCGATACCATGAAAAGGAGCCACACAGTAAATGAACTGTTCTTATGAGGATATGCACACATGAGAAATATCGAAACAAAAGGGGGTGGACTTCAGTGAATTTTGGACTCTGGGACATACAAATGTAATGCTGGATTTCTAATACTATGTGCGTGTCAAAAAGTACTTTATCAGGATCTGATGCTTTATTGATCATTAGGAAATATGATAGTGATCGGTGAGTGGTCACTGGTGCAATTATTTCCTATGGGCTCACCCTGATTTCTCAGCACATTTCCATATTTAGAGTTAAATATCTCGTTTCAAGATTGCAAAGTTCCTTATTTATGGTTCAGTTCATTAATACATAGTGGATTTCATTTGTTTATCATGATAATATTTTTTTTTTATTTTTGGTCTGCCATATGATAATGTAATCAAACATGATCATGTCATGCCCTGCAGCATAGGAAAGAGCTAGTGGATGCAATTCAGCACGGATTGATGATATTGAAATCAGAAAAAATGTCTTCAAGTAATCAACCAAAGATGCCAACATATGGCACACAAGTATGCCAACTTGGTTTTTTGATTGCTTCCAACTTCCTATGTTGTGGATACCTTGTTAAAAGTTAAATGCCCTTTCTCGTATTGTAGGT